ACAGGAGAGAAACCCAGCTTCCCTGGAACGCGGCTGCGGAGTGATCGGATGGCCACCCCGCACGGGAGAAGGCTGGAGAAGACAACCGCTGCGCGTTCCTGGAGAGCCAGGAAGGTCAGTAAACCGTGGTGAAAACGGCTGTGACCAGCGGTAACACACGTACCTGCTGGAAAGGGGTGCCGGTCACTGAGAGACGACAAAGCAGACCTGCGTGGGGTGTCCGGACCAGCCCCGTCCAGCCCCTGCCCCTCACGGTAATCGACGCCTTCTCGTTAAATGTTAATGTCAGGCAGCAATTCGCAAGGAGCATGCCCCATTCAGCCCATGGCCTGGGGTCCCCGAGGCCCCCTCCAACCCGCCTGACTTCAGGAGGGTAGAAGTGGGGAGAGCCCAGGCTGGCGTGGCGGTTATTTTCAGGCACGAGGCGTTAGGGTCTGACCGAGCAAGGGGGCGGGGTGGGGGGCGCGGTCCGGGAAGGTCCCCGGGGTCGGGCGCCCCGCGGGGGACTCGTAAAGACTTAAAAAGGCCGTTACCTGCTCCAGCAAGCATTCGCGTTCACCAACAAGCTTTTTCACCCTCGTGTCTGAAGAAATGAGAAAGACACAGGTTTAGGGGTCTTGGCGGCCGCACCTTCCCGCAGGCGGCTGGGCCGGAGGATGAGCGTTCGGGTTAGTGGAGTGATGATGAGGGTGTTACACACGTACCACAGCGGATGCGGCCACACACAGGACGGGGGAGGCGGTCGGCCACGGGAGGCGCAGGCGGCCGGCCTGCCAGCACATGCTTGTCTCGTCAGGGGCGGGCCCGGCCGCATGCAACGGGCCGGTCTTCCACCTGGGGTTAGCATGCAAGGGCTCGCGCCGAACCACGCTGCAACACAAGATCTCACAGGCTTCCCGGTGTAACGTCATCGGCGCGGTGGGACACCCCGGAGTCCCCCGCGTCGCCGCTCGCCGGCGCCGCCCGAGGGCACACCCCCGCGGGGGCCCCCCCTGGGCTCGCCGGGAGTTTGACAACACGGTTGCGAATCAGAGTTGGCGGACTAGGCACCTGCCGCCCGCTCATCAAACGCTTTGATTCTTTTGAGGAGGAGCGCAGTGATTATTAGCTTTCTGTCCTCCCTGCCACCCAGCTATGTCAGGAGGCACAACGTAAGCACCCAGAGACCCCCCGAGCCTCTCCCTGGAGGGGCGCTGAGGAAGCAGCCTTCGGTACGGGGGCAGGGGGTTGGGGCCAAGTCCCACAGCAGCTTCCGGGAGAGCCGGGTGGGGGCGGGGTGGGGGGGACAGCGATGCTCCTGTGTGCCGGCCACGGCCGTCACCCTCTCTCACCCCCGGAGCCTGTGGGTGGCGCGGCTACTACGTCCTAAGGGCCAAGGCCCAGCGCAATTAAGCGACTCTCCGGAGGCCTGGCCCGCCCCCCGCCCCCCGCCCCTTTTCCTGGTCTGAACTCCGACCTCATGGCTGGGCCCGCACCCCGCCCAAAGGCCCTGTTCTGGAGGGACCAGTGTCCTCACGGTGCCCAGCTTCTGATGGGCTGGGAAACGGAAGCAATTCATATAAAACGCACCCTGTTTTCATTTAGAAAGTCATGCATCCACATTCTAATCCAAGTTACATGCTCTCTGTTTTTTTTCCAAACGCCCTAAGTTGTTATTTTGGAAGGCACGGTGACAAACTAAACAAAACCAGAAAATGTTAGGATGATTCATTCTTTCCCTTCTATAAATCCGCCCAACACTGAAAAAAAATTTTTTTGTAGTTATGAACCCAGATCTCTTATTCAATATCATTTTCATTTCACCTTATGTATTTTCTATTCCTACGTACACGGGCATCGTAAGAAATGCTGAGTATATCAGAAAGTGGTCTTGAAGCTCATATACTTATCGGGCAATTTCTAAATTATTTTCCTGTTAAGAGACTTCAAATACTCTGGATAGTGAGTAAAAAAAAACCAAATGTTAAAAATGTAATAACGGTCCTAAGGGAAAAACAAATAAGGACGATCTAATCTTTGGTCTCACAGTGAGAAAATGAGGCATAGAAAGAAGTGGAATTTTAAGGAAGAGAAAATTTTAAAGCAGAATTAAAGAAGATTAAAACTAAATAGTTTTAAGACAATGGAAACAAGGAAGAAGCAAAGTTATTTGACATGAAGAAAATGAGTAGTTTTTCTATAGCTTTAAAAATCAGTAGTCCAGTTCATTGTGTGCCTGGTGCTCCGTGGCTAACATACTTACTGTAATTCCTAACGAGAACGCTGCAGGCCTAGCTCCCCGCGGGGCAAGCTGAGTAGCGCTGCTCATCCCTGTTCGCAAACGCCTGGCTTGTGAACTCACCACCTTGTTAAAGGCCTTGGGACGGCAGTTTTAGAGTGAAGGCATCGGAGCATTTGAAGGGACCGTGTCTCACATGTAGGGTTTCCTTTCACAGCGAGAAGTTAAAACGAGGTGGCCAGGAAGGCATTTGAGTAATATTGGCAAAGGTTACATTTTCTTTTTAATCTCATTTCTATGCTAAATCCGCATAGCTTTGCTGGTGCACCTTTGAGAGGCCCGGGAAGGCGGCGCGGGCAGCCAAGTCCAGGGGGCTGGGACTTGCGCGGGAATTCTGAGCCCTGCTGTCCCTCTTTCCCGCGGCCTCCCACGGTGACCTCGCTCGCCCAGGGCGCGGCAAGGCCGACGACCAGCAACGGCCACGCCGCAAAGCAGTCACGCTTTCAGCCCTGCGCCTGGCCCCGGCCCTCCCGCAACCCTGACGGGCAGGCTCTCACCCCGGTTTCAGGGCGCAAAATGAGGCCCCCATGAGGATACGGAGCTGGCTGGTGACGACGTCCTACCAGGAGCACAGTCTCGCTCGGGGGCTAATTTCAGGCAGCAGGGGGGCCCAGGCCTCCCTGTGGCAGAGGACGGTCGCCTGCTGTCCGTATTTGCCAAGGTAGGGGGGGAGGCTGAGGGCTTTCAAGAAACCCACCGAGCACCTGCTTTCTGCGCTCCTTCCTGCAGTACCGGTTGCTTCACGGTCCCTGGGCCAGCCGCCCGGGCCGGGACGACGCCTGCTTCCGGTGAGGAAAGGCCAACGCTGGCAGGTTGCTCAGGAGGGCTCCTGTCTTTCCTGTTCACGGGGCCCAGGGCGTCTGTCCCTACCCATGGGAACTGTCCCCTCCAGCCCCGTGGCGTTCTGTTCAGCTGAACATCTTGAAAAACGTCATCTCTGGTGTAAGCGGGGCAGAGGGCAGGGCAAAGGGGCAGGAGAAAGGGTTTTTCTCCCCAAAGACAAAGTTTTCCCTACCTACGACTGTCACATGGCAGAGGCGCGCGCGCACACACACACACACAGCGCCCCCGGCTCTCCTCCGGAGCCTGGCGTTGGGGAAGACTCTTTCTGTGATGTTTGTTCCTGTGTTTCAGTGGCCTCAGTGGCGCACGGGGTATGGGACTCTCTGAGGACACAGCCCTGGTGACAGAAAACCAGAGCCCCAGCCTGTCTAAGCCCCAGAAGGGACGCCCGGGGCCTGCGGGCTCCAGGAGGGCGGCGGGGATGGGAAGGGTCATTCGTCGCCCGGAAAGGCTGACGTTACGGAACGCGGTCCATGTGGAAGCCTTGCGCCCGAGACCTCGGCGCCCCTCCCTGCCCCGCCCCCCCCACAGCCTAACGACCTGCAACGCGCTCTCTGTTCCTTTCCCTTTCTTTCTCCACATGCACCCGAATGAGACATAACGTACTTTTGAAGTGCACAGCGAGGCTGCTTTCAGGCTTGGGCCGAGAAACAGCCCAGCTTCCACCTTTGGTACTGTGACTGCTGTTCTCCCCTGCTCCGCGCAGTGGTGACACCCGGTGCCCGGGCTCCCCTGAGGACGTGCTGGACATGTGACCTTTGGATCTGTTCCTGATTCTGACTCTGGACACTGAGCCCTTCCAGCGGGCCAGGTACACCTCCGTGCCTCCCTAGCCCTTCCCCCGGCCCTCTGCCCCTGCCCTGTGCCCCTCCTATACCGGAGATGACATTTTTCAAGATGTTTGGCCAAATGGAAAGCCGTGGGGGGCTGGTGGGGACAGTTCCCATCTGTATGGACGCTGGGTAACGCTTTGGTGAGCGTTGAAGGGGCACCGCTCTGTGAACGCCAGTCACTTGCTGGACTAGGCTGTCATTTGACACTCAGACCAGAGGACCCCCAGAGCGTCGGGAAGTGGCTTGGCTGCTGAGAGCCCTTTCCCTCCGTGGCGCTCACACCCGATTCTCAGCATCCCCCTCCCCCTTCGGAAGATCAAATGTTCACTGTGGGAAGAACGAGGGACCCGGTGAGGCCGCTGGCTGGCTCGAGGGACGCGGAGGATGTCACACTGTCGTCGTGTGTGCCAGCCAACAGCACGGGAACGAGGGACAGCCGTCCCGGGGTGGAACGGCCTCGGCCCCTGCTGAGTCTGGCCAGAGCCAGGCCGTTTCCCAGCGCGCCCTGCAGCCTGAACGCGGCTTTGCCGAGGTCAGAGACATCAGCTGGACCCCGCACACGTCTCTGCGGCCCTTGGGCTTGACTCCCTCCAGGCCCTCCTGTGTTCCTTCTACCCGCATGGCCCAGGTGGGCAGGGGCTGGGCCCCGCCACCCTCCCCTGGGGACGCCTACGCAGGAAGGCCAGGCCCCTCCGCCACTACACCACACTCGCCAGGGCGTTCTCTGTCCGGGCGCACGGAACGGGCACCGTTCTCCACGGGGGCCTGGCTCCTCCTCAGACCCTCACCTCACGGGCAACGCTGTGGCGGAAGCGCTCCTCGGGCCCCCCGATGGTCCAGCCCCCGCCTGGGTGGCCTGGATGCCGGGAGGGACACTCAGTCCTCCCTGAAGAAGGGCAGCAGGCAGGGGTCCCTCCCCGAGCCCCACCAGGGACGCGGCCCCTCGGGGCCTTCCGGACGGAGTGCCGTGCAGGCGCAGCACGGCCAGACTCCACGCAGCCCAAAAAGTGGCTCCACAGGCTTGTAAAACTAGCAAATGTCTTTATTTCAGTTGCATGACAACGCACTCGCCTCGCATGTTGCAGAGGCGTTGGTCCTTTGGGTGCTCAGTTGTATCTTGTGTCAGGAATGTGAACTCATGGACTCTCATAAAGCGTTAACACCATTCCTGGTATTCATTCCCTTGTGCTTTTAATATTTAACAATTTTTCTTTAAACTTAACTTTTTACAGTTATCTTTTTAAAAATGGTGCTTATATAGAAAATACATATTTTGTTCAGGAAGATCGAAACAAGAATTTTCCAATATAACTATACTGACAAACAAAAAATGCAAGTATTTATACCGAAGTACCAAAAGTGATTGAACAATGTAAGATATCCTGATATAGTTTAATGAGCAGTTTGCATGGCGTAACGACAAGCACCCTAGTTTATTGCTTTTTTGAATAATGATTAGACAAACAGAAAAGTAATTTCGAGGTTAAAAAAATAAATTTTAGAAGTGATTCTCCCCACCCTGACACTCTAGGAAACGCAATTTCAACCCACGTCTCTTCCAGGAAAAAAAAATGTTTAAAAAAATCTTTGTATAAAACGGCTTTGGTACATGATTGGCATGACAGGAAGTCAAAATCTACAAAATAGACTCCGGTGCCACAAACGCAGGTCTGAAGTTCTGGCTGAGACGAAGCCTTTATGTGAGGTGCAGTCCCCAGGGCTTTAAGACGCTCATTCTCCCTGAAAGGATGCCTTACTCAGTGACCTGTACATTGTTTGGCTGCCTGTCCCCTTTTTAAATAAAATAGCATACAGGTTACGGTGTGCATACCAAGAGCAATCAAGAAAGTACATGTGTTGGAATGGGACAAATCAATTTAAATGCCGATCCTACTCCTGATGTGGGAATGTCAGAGTGCGCTTTGGTCGTTTCCATTAGATGCCGATACGCCCGGTTAAGCATGTCCACGGCCGTGTCAGCCCGAGGCGGGCGGGAGCCACGCTATTGTGAGTGTGAGCCACACACAGTGTGTGTCATCGCTGGTACTACCGGCACGCTTCCAGTGAGGGTTTACATCGATTACAAACGTGTCTTTCTAACCTGGGTGATAACCTTGATAAAATAGAAGGCTACGGGTAACAGTCTATAAATTAACGTACTAGCTGGCATGGCGGTCGGCTGCCATCGTGGGCTTGTCTCCGTCGAGGCCATTTTGAGGGTGGCCCAGGGGCTGCCGCAGGCGGCCTCACTGCACGCTGCCTTCACGCTGCGTGCCAAGCAAGCCCCGCCCTATGACAAGGTGCAGTCTTCTTTGCTTTTGTCCTTCTCACTCGGGTGCCCTGCCTCTCCTCTGCTCTCAGGACAGGAGTATCCCGCGGGCGCCAAGCCATCGCTTCCTGGACTCAGGCTCTCTGGGACCTCCCCGACTCCCCGACTTGCATGTTCTGTACCTTCGGCTGGGGGAGCGCCGTCGACATCCTCGGAGGGACTCTGGTCTCCGAGTGGGACACTGCCAGATGCATCTCCGTCCTCCGGGGGCCTGCGTGGAGCGACACCGCCTCCTTTGGCACCGTCTGGCCCGCCTCCTTCCTCCAGCCCTCCCGCACCTGCTTGGGAGCCCGCGGCCTGAACTGCGTCACCGTCTGACGGCACTGGTTCTCCATCGGCGGCTGCTGTCCTTGCCTCTGTGTCCGGCTCGCTGCCTCCCAGGTGAGGCCCGCCACCCGCCTGCGTGTTAGGATATTCTGGAACGTCCTGGTTTTCACCGCTTCCTGAAAGCGTGTTCTGCTGGGGATTTCCGGGGACCCCGTCTTGTATTCCTTCACCTGGTCTCTCGTCAGGGAGCCCCACCTGCTCTTCCTCCTTAGCTTCACTCAGGCCTGGGCTCTGAAACGACGGCTCTTCCTTAGCCTCCTTAGGGGTTTCTGCAGGTGCTGGCGACTTCTTCTTATTCTTCTTCTTCTTCTTGTTCTTTGTCTTCTTCTGTGGTGAATCCAGACACTCTCCCTGTGGGTCATTGTTGTCCTCGCCGGGGTCTTTCACATCTAGGAGCTCGCTCCTGCTACCTGCCGTGCGTGGGCCTGGTACTCCCTGCGCGCTGCGTGCGGCCGCGGGGGAAGGGGGGCTGCTCTGCGCCTCTGTCCCGACGGGCTCCGCGTTCCCAGACCCCTTCCCCTCGGCCTCTCCTGCATCGCCGCCCCCCTCCAGCCCTGTGCTCTGCACCAGGGGCTCCCGGGGCCCCGCTGCTCCTTGGTTGGTGAACCCTGTCTCTAAACCGCACCCTGTGCTGGGGTCCCCCTCTTTGGGGACATCCGTGTCATCGTTGCCCCTTGGAGGGCGGGAGGCCACTGTGCCCAGTGGCTCTCCTGGCCCGGGCGGCCCTGCCTGCGCCGCGTCGGCCTCGGGGATCTGAGAGGGAGCAGGCCCCTGCCGTGGTCCTGGGCTGGCCTCTCCCAAACTGGTTCCACAACCTCGCTTTTCTGGTTCCTGCATCTCTGCGGATTCTGCGCTGTGGCTTCCGGCCTCCGAGGCATCGCAGCTGCCCTGCTCCGCCTCGGGGCCCTGCATGCCTCCGCCTTGCGCCCCCCGACCCTCCGGCGGCTCGAGGGGAGCCCCGGCCCCAGCATCTGCGGTGCCTGTGCCCTCGCTGGACCCCACCTGCTCTGTGTGTTCAAGGGCGGACATGCTGCCTAGAACTTGGCTTTGAATCTGGTCCTCATGTGCAGCATTTGCTGCGGCTGCTAGGGAGGGGGCGCTGTCGTCAGAGGGCCTCTGGTCCTTGGCACTGTCCCCAGGAGGGAACACCTCTGTGTCCGCACCGTCCTCTACAGGGTCCTCCCGGCGCGGCTCTCGCTCAGTACTCTGCAAGGTCTCTCTGTTCCCCACACTGTCCACAATTTCATTGTCCACCTCCACTTCAGTGGCTTTTCCTAGAAGACCATTGAGAAAATGGAAGGGACCCCATGATGCGGTGGCCACTCGATACACATTGCAGCGTAAACACAGGTTCGTCCCCACCCAGCCCCAGCCCCAGAGAGAGAGCAGGTCAGCAAGAGTCGCCGGGCCGAGGCCTCTGCCAGCGCCGTGCCAAGCAGCCACCGCATCAGCAAAGGGCCATCGGCCAAGGCCACCGCCGCCACCTCGAGGCGGGGGGGCGGCCGGTGCCGTCCCGTGCGCAGCTCAGTTGTAACCACCAGGAAGAGCACTGGGTCAGGCACCCGAACCCTCCGGAAGGATGGATTTAAGAGGGACTTCGGGTTCGCGGCCCCCGTTCTCACTTCCAAACGCACCTGGACACGTCACACGCCAGCTACCGGCCCGCGCATCACACGGCCCGAAGGCGGCTTCCAGGGCATGTCAGGGAACACAGCCTCCTGGTCAACCTCGAGGACGGCACCTTGGCAGCAGCTCCTATCAGGTCAAGAGATCCGCCCCCTCCACCTGGTCCCTGTCTCCTGAGGGGGCGGCCTGTGCCCTAAGCGCCCTCGCTCCACTCCCGGACAGATCGGGAGTCCCAGCGGGAGGAAATCAGGGTGCCCGGCTGCCTAGGTAGTGAATGACTCGCTGAGCGATATGAATGACCAAGTCACTGCTTTGGATGAAGCGACAGTTTGGCTTTGTCACCCAACAAAACCACAGCACGTAGGATAGCCTGTCACTGCAGGTCAAAGGGTGCTGACTCCGTGACCTACCTGGTGGGTGCGCTTGCCCCAGGGAAAGCGAGGAAAGTGGCATTTACAGTTAGTGTCACTTGGCCTTTGAAAAATGTCAACGAGTGCCTGTTATCTAATGCACACTTGATAACAATACAAAATCATCTACAAATTAAAAAAAAAAACTTATTGGAAAGACCCCCCTTTGGAGCCATCTCTGGTTCTCAGAGTGTGTGTCTGACAACGATTCTCGAAGATTCACAAAACGCATGTGCGCCCAAGAGCGGCATCATCCTGGGCTGCTCGCCCACTGCCGCCGAGGCGGGAGGGCCGCCCCTCCTGCTGCTTCTGCACAGTTAACAGAGCTGCCCGCCGCCAATGGCCGTGACGCCAGCGCGGTTGCCCGGGGAGCAAGCCCTGACGTCTCCGCATCTCCATAAAGACAGAGAACTAAGGCCGGCGCTTCCACATGGACGTGGAGCCATGGCCTGGCCTGACTCCGGCCTCACTGTGAAGCTGGGACGCTTGGGTGGCCAGTGGCCAGTGAGCCTCGGATGCGGCGGCAGCTTTGGGCTGCACAGCAGGTTCTGGAGGTTCATCCGTGGCCAAACATGGTGACAAATAGCCATCGGTGGGTCTTTCAGGTATTCCCACTGTCTACCAGCATCTATTCTTTCAGAAGCAAACACGTGTAACACGCAGAGACGCGTCGCCGCCCACAGAGGGGCGGGCGCATTCGGGCTCTCACTGGTGTGGCACGCCCTCCACACGGACCACACGACACCAGGGACCTGTCCCTCTTAGGCGCTACCCTGAGAATGACGACAATATGTCCTGTGTCCCAGCCTCCATCTACTGTCTACAAGCACCTTGCACCCTCCAAGCACTAACAGGAGGTGGCCCGTCGGCTTGCAAACGGGGCCAACCAACTCGATCTGCAGCCTCTGCTGTTCTGATCTCCGGACAGCTCTGCCACGCTGTCCAAGAACGTGTTCAGGAGTGGTGCTTGGGGACAACCCAACAGCCCTGTCAAAACGGTCACCCAATCCTAAGACAATTCTCTGGCATCCGCAGCCTCACGCAGCGCCCTCGGCATCGGTGGGGAGCGCTGACCGGGAAGCAGGCCAGGCGGCACGCGTGGGCAGCACGCGTGGGCGGGGCACGTCCGTGACGAGACAGCACGCAGGCCATGCGGTGTGGCGGTTAATGGTCAGTGACGATGGCTTCGACTCTGACAGTGCGTGGAAGGTGCATCAATGCTGATGGGGAGGTGACCCAGAGGAAAACAGTACTTACCGAGCGTCCCGTCCCTGGTGGCCTGGAGGGCGGGGGGCTCTCCCTTTGTTGTCTGGGTAGGACCGTGGTGTCCAACGTTAGTCAGAGCATCTGGAGTCTCTCCATTGGTAGCTACTTCTGCATTGAGGATTATTCCATGTTTCTGGGGACAAAAACAGGCTCGTCGTAACACTCGCCGAGTGATAGGAGGGTAAACTCTCTTTTGTTAATAATAATTTAAAAGGAAACTCTTTTTCCTGAAGTAGAGGAAAATTCTGCAGAGAAGAGCAAGGTACCTACCACTCTTGTGAAGGTTCTACCAACACCCACACTTCTGGGACATGTCCTGCCAGGACGCGTGCCTCTTTGGGACCCCCTGCCCCTTCCCACTGCCCTGTCCTCAAGTGCCAGAGACCACGCAGCAGGAACCCCCGAGACGGGGTGACGCTGCAGGTGCAGTGGCGGGAGGCATCGAGCATGTCCCTGTAAGACGACCCTGACTTTTCAAACCCTGGCCGCACTCTTTCAAAAGAGACACAGAGAAAAAGAAAGTCCTGTGCGCGAGTCTGAGAAGAGGCGCTAAGGAGGGGCCGGCACATCTGCGGGGCTCTCTCCCCCAGCGGCGCCTCACGGCTCCGGGGCCCCTGACCACGGACGACTCCCTCCCGGCCCTCTGCTGCCCCGGCTCCCTCTTTTGTGCTGGGAGGGATCCCCAACACCGCACCTGCAGCGGTGGGGTGAGCCTGCCGGACCCGAGCCCTGAGCCCGCCCCCACTGGCCCACCACCCCGGCCTTGACCCCTGGACGTAAGCAGCCACGCAGACGCGTCTGTTGACTACACGGGAGTCCGCCCACGGCCGTGCCCTGCCTTGGTCCTGCCTCCGCCAGGGCACACAGCCCGCCCGGAGCTCTGGCCCCCTCGGCCGGGCGCTGGGCTTCTTTACTCGGTGTCCAGGCAGGGGCCGGAGACCCCCAGACCCGGCCCAGGCGGAACGTGGCTCTCCGACAATCCAGAGGATCTCCAAGCGTAAATGCCAGGAGCCCCTGCCCTCCGAGCTGCTATTCAGCTACAGAAGTCCTTACGGCTGAGCCTTTAATGTGACAAATACATTCTCTCACTTCCAGTGACATCTTGGAGGATTTATGGATGAGCATAGAAAACACTGAGACAATGTATCAAAAAATCCTTGGAAATCCGAGTTGCTTTCAGGCTCAGATGCGCCTGCAGACGCCTGAAGGCCGGGGGCTAGTCCCCAGGCCCCTGGACTGACTTTACACGTCTCGTCAGTGTCACTTCGCCCTGGATTTGAATTCGTCAGCCGAACCAAATCAGGGACACACAAGGAGCCCGCGCCGGCCCACACACCGCCGCGCGCCCCTGAGCGTCCTCGCGCACGCCGCTGCCACGGGCTCCGTACCTTTAACTCCGCTTTCAGCGTGCCTACTTCTTCTCTAAGATCATCTCGTTCACTCCTGACGGAATCAAAGAACTCTTTCTGCCTCTCTAAGGCCTGAGTGCGCAGCAGAGCAAAGAGAGAGAAGAGTCGCACAGGTCAGCAGGTGGGTTCGGAAACAGACTAGGGAGGCGGCTTCCACGAGGCAAAACGCCGACAGTCAGGCGTTAGAGAGCGTGTGCTTAAAGATACAAAGGAGGGGCCGGTGACGAACTCTCCGTCGCCAGCAAATGCCACGGCGCGGGCCCTGGGAGGCCCTCCCTGCATCGCAGCCTCACCGGGCTTGCGTGTCGCCGCTGGGCTAGCAAGTTAGTGGAGGCCCCGCGCCCGCGTGAACGAGGGGTGAATGCAGAGCGAGGAGAAATGCCAAGGAGCCCCGGGGACGGCTACGGTAGCAATGTAGGCCACTTCTCTACATGGATTCGCGGAGACTGTGGGCACAGAGGAACAGGAAGGGGTCCTAGCGCAAACACGCATGCGTGCACATGCACAGGGTCCTGGGTAAGTGGATGAGCACACGAGAGAGAAGACAGGGCAACGCCACGCCGTCAATGCTCCGAGGACGGGCTCAGGCGTCACGGCGATGGGTGGGTGGGTCACACGGTTGGGAAGCCAGTGTGGGGAAGCACAGCTGTTACTGTGAGGGGTCCCTTTCTTCCTCCTCCTCACGCCTACAGGCAGGTGGGCGGGAGGGAGGGGGTCTGAGGACCTCTGGGGCAATGTCAAGCTGGGGCTGCGCGGGGCACAGCCCTTGCCACCTCGCAGCTTCCTGGAACCCCTCAAGGAAAGGCCCAGGCGGAGCGGGCAGGGAAACCCACACCCCAGAGCCGTCGCAGCGCCTCCCTCGTGGGCGTCTCCGCGAGCAGGGGCAGCTCCAGGGCTGGCGGAGAGCCCGGCACACGCTGGCTGAACGCGACTCCCCGTCGGACGCCGGCGTCCACTTCGGCGCCCGTGCCGCTTTGGGGAGGTTGGCGTTCGCCGCCGCGTGCTGGACCCTGCACCACGTGGGGGCCGCATGCACACTCATCCGAGCAAACCGGGGGCTCTGCAAGCAACACGCTGGCGAAGCCGCGGGCCCATCTGGACAGACTTGCAAAGGCGTGAGAGGCCTACCCCTATCTTTTTGTCTTTCCACTCTATCGTTTCCTGAAGGTCAGAAATCTCCCTGACATAACTCGCCTGTTTCTGCTGCAGCTGTCGGATTTCCTGAGGAACAGGGACAGGTAGAGAGAGAGCAGACACAGCGTTAACGGAAGTCCCGGCGCAGGCGAGCAAGAGTGGCCCCAGGGGCCGGCGAGCCCGGGGAGGCAGGAGCATGTTCTCTCATACCCTGGAGTGCATTCTTTCTTTCTTTTTTTTTTAATTAAGTTTTTTTTCCTTATATTGTATTTATTTTCTTTTTTAGAGAGGGGGGAAGGGAGGGAGAAAGAGAGGGAGAGAAACATCAACGTGTGGTTGCCTCTCTTGCACCCCCTCCTGGGGACCTGGCCCACAACCCAGGCAGGTGCCCTGACTGGGAATCGAACCAGCAACCCTTTGGTTTGCAGGCTGGCGCTCAGTCCACTGAGCCACACCAGCCAGGGCAAGCTCATTCTTGAAGGCAGCCCTTTCTCCACGTCCTGCTCCCCATCCCAGAAGTGCAGGAGGAACCCCGCTGGGTAAAATTCTTACTGAGAGGCTCTCAAGTTATGATCAAGTCAAAAAGGTTAAAATCAACGCTGTGGCCCTGGCCAGGTGGCTCAGTTGGTTGGGGCCTTGTCCCGTACACCAAAAGGTAGCGGGTTCGGGCCCTGGGCCCTGGCCTCTGGGCCCTGGTGAAGGCTTGCATGGGAGGCCACTGATCGATGTTTCTCTCCCTCCCTCTCTTTCTCTCTTCCCCCCTAAAATCAATAAATATATCCTTGGATGAGGATAAAAAAATTAAACAGGTAAAAATCAACCCCCCATGTTTCCTGTCACCGCTGTGACAAATTAGCCCGAGTTCAGTGGCTTCAAACACCGCCTACGTATCCTCACGGCGCTGGAGCCCGGGAGCCCAAAGTGGGAGAGATCAAGGGGTGGGCAGGCCTGGGGTCTTTTCTGGGGGTCCCGGGGAGACTGTTCTGGTAGCTTCTTGAGGCGCCCAGTTCCCTGGCTCACGGCCCCTCCTCCCATCACTCTGACGTCTGCTTCTGCTGTCACACCCTTCCTTCTGCCTTGGACTCTCCTGCCTCCCCTCTGTAAGGACCCTGTGACACACGGGGCCCGCCTGGAAAACCCAGGACGCTCTCCCATCACAGGGCCCTTTCCGCCATGGAAGGTCCCAGGAGAATTAGCCCGAGCCCCCAGTTTTCCACAAAACCCGTGACTTTAGTAACGGACCAGCTAAACGCTCCCAAGTCAGAAAAGGCCCGGGGACGCGGGACCGACTACCCACCTGGAGCATCTCCTCCCTGTGCTGCAGGGCGGCCTTCATCTCGGCCAGCTGGAAGCGCAGCAGGCTGTGGGCGTGCTTCTCCCGCTCGAACTCCTGCGGGGGCGGGGGGGGGGGCAGAGCAGAGAGGAGGGCTCAGGCACGGTGTTCAAGGTCCCCCTCACCTTCCCGCGGGCACCCCGCTCCCCGCCCCGCCTGGGGACGAATCGCCTGCGGCCACGCGGCACAGCCTGCCCAGCCCTTCTGACACCGCGAGCCGGGTTCTCGGGATCTCCTAGAGAACGCCCCGCGGTTTGCTGGCAGAGCAGGGCAGCTGACGGAGCCCGCGGCGGCTCCTGGCCCCCTCGGGGGCGCCGCCCCAGGAAGGGGTCCCCATTAGGGTGTTGGCCGCCGGCACCGGCGAGCAGGCAGCTTTACAAAAAGGACTTGGGCTAAATTCCAGACTTTGAAACACGCCAGGGAATAGTCTTTGAAATAAAAAAGGGCAAAATGTGTCTACTTTGGCACGGCTGTCTCATGAACAGTGGCTGGGCCAACCCTGCACCCCAGGGACAAAACCGAAAACACGGGGGCAGCGGGAGCGCGCGGCCACCCCCCCGTCGGACCCTCCCCTCTAGGAGACTTGCCCCAGAGACCTGGCAATGCAGCTCTCAGGTCCCCGGCGCAGCCCCTCCCAGCTGCGCTGTCCCCAGTGACGGGCTGGTGCCCAACTACCTGACTGCCGACAGCTCAAGGCCGCCTTCCCCGCACCTGCGAGCCCGGCTACTTCCGACCTGCGTTTCCGCTCTCCACTTTTGAAGTCTGGGGCGCCTGGTCCCCTGAGAGTTGTGACTGGGCCCGTGGTCCCCTCCTTGTGGCAGTATCCCAGGATGACCCAACTTCTGTGGAATTCGATCGGAGGGTCCCTGGTCCTCCTGACGCCTGACTGAGGCCGCTTGCGGAATATTAGGGACCCACTGCAGCCCCTCCCCCCTGGCAGGGCCAGAACAGCCCCCTGCTCCTCCTTTCATCCCCCAGGACCCGGCCCGTGAGAAGCTCCTCCCCCCCTTCTCCCAGAGCCCCGCTGTCCGGACCCGCGCTGTTCGCGGTGGACTCAACGCTACAGCGACTGGGGCGGGCCTTGCTGCTGGTCCCGGAACCTGGATTTTAACCCTGGGAATTAGAGCATAGAGCCAGGTTTGTTTGTTTTTTTAAAGATAATAACATGCATTAATTAAATTTTCTGTTTATCTCAGCACATTTGAAAGTGGGCGGTGTTCTAAGGCTTGATTAACCAACTTATTCCTAAAAACGTGAACGGCAAGGATCCCTTGTTCCGTGTGTCATGAAGACGGAGGCCACCAGACCAGCCTGCTGTCACTAACCTGAGCGCGAGCCTCTGCTGTGAGCTGATGTCATAAGCTGCCACCGTGATTCCAACGTGTCCTAACGGAAGCCCAAATAGGACTCCACCCTTCTCTGGGCTTAAGGGAAATATTCACTTCTTAAATGCAGTACATGTGTCTTTTCCCAAGCAGCAGAAAATAAACGAATAGGATTTTCTTAAAATCTTTGATACTTGCAACTGTCTACGGTGTTAAGATTTAAGAAAATAAAAACCAGGAAATGTGTCTGGACAGGAAGACCCCGAAGCATCCGATCACGCCTCATCGGAGCGCGCTGGTTCTTTCGTAGGCAGGCTTTTCCATGGTTATGATTTTACCTTACGTGCAACACACAAATGTTCTAGTAAAATCACCTCGGGTTTACTATTAAAATTTGCATATCAATATTGGAAGTCCCTCGGCAAAGAGCTTACTACTCTCAGATGTCTGGGCTTCCTAGACAAGTGGAGAATCGTTGTTAAACACACATGTGCATTCTCGCACACACACACACTGAAAACTAAAAAAAAAAAAAAAAAAAGAAAAAAAAAGGGCTCATAACTTTATAGAACCTGGAAAAAACACATACACACACCCTGTATATGCACATACCAGACACCAAATACATATATTTGTGCTCGTATAGTCTACCGTCCCTGACGGCACCGAAGCTTACTTTGCTCTTTTCCTCACATTGCCGCCTAGACTCAGCCAGCTGCTCTTCGAGGTCCAGCAGCGTGTCTTTTAGGGTGTCGACCTGGTACATGTAGTTCGTCTTTTCGTTGTCGAGCTGGGCGTTGGACACCATAGCCTTCTTATACTTCTCTTCAACTTCTGCTAGTGAGTCCTGCAGGAACCAGGCCACAGTTTCGAAATTGCGGTAAGAAAACGAAAATTAGTTCGGTATTCTTTCTTTCTGAAGTTGATTTTAGAGAGACAGAGGAAGGCACACAGAGAAGGACACAGCCGTTCATTGTCCCCCTTGTTGGTGCATTCGTTAGTTGATTCTTGCATGTGCCTTGACTGGGGGTTGAACCACAACCTTGGCGCATTGGGACGACACTCTAACCAACTGAGCTACCCGGCCAGAGCTAGTTCACTATTCTTTTTTAAAAAATCCCTACCCAAGGACATTTTTCATTGCTTTTCAGGGGGAGACGAAGCGGGGCCTCGGGGGGCGGGGGGAGAAACATCGATGTAACAGAGACGTGTGGATTGGCTGCCTCTTGTTGGCTCCCCAGCTGAGGATCAAACCTGTAACCTAGGCGTGTGCCCCGACTGGGAATCGAACCCACACCCTTTCGGTGTACAGGACGATGCTCCAACCAACTGAGCCACGCCGGCCAGGGCTAGTGCCGTAGTCTTAAAAACACACTCAGCCCTAAATTTGACTTTATTTCTTCAAGCAAATGAATCAAAATAGGAAACAAAATAGGAATCAAAATAGCAATGTCAAAAGCTTAGAAATTCCTCCTTTTCAATTTGATCGATGTCTCCTCACTTGGAAAATCAGTTCCTCACTGCACCGAGGGACAAAAATAATCACCAGCCCCCAGGACAAGGGAGACGCCTGGTGGGAGGGGTTCTGGTCACGGGCAGCGCGCCCCGACCCGGTGGCTCAGCACCGGGTGCAGCGGGTCAGGCTGCTGATCAGGCTTCTGGAGATGTCCCTCCAGGTGCGCGGCCAGAACTGGGACAGAGCCAGCGGGACGGCTGAGGGGACAGGGCCAGGCCTGGGCTCACGAGCCGGGAGGCACGAGGCGGAGCCTCACGCTCTCAGCCCACAGGAGAAGTGCACAAGGCGCAGAGGCCTCGGTGCATGGGCCTGGAAAGACAACGGTCACCCCTGGGGAAGGGACGGCCCAGGGAAAGAGGCCTGCAAAGTATGCGTGGCCCTGCCATGGCCCAACATGGCCACGCCCGCGCAGGTCAGGTCACAGAGAGAGCACAGCAGCGTTCAGACCCCGAAACAGAGATCGGGGAAGCAATTCCGGAAGGGAGGGCAGAGCCCCGGGCGTAAACCTCCGCAGCTAAAGGCGGGGGAGCGCTGCCTGGCAGGTGTCTCAGGTGCTCCCAGGAGGCTTCCGGGGCCGGGGCCGGGGCCGGTCTCGCCTGCCCTTGCGAGCCAGGCCAGCGACCCAGGGCCCAGCAGCGGCTGGTCTGCCCCCCGGCTCCGGTTTCCCATGCGCTAAAAGCCAGAGTGCTCAGTTCCCCCCTTTCTAAAAAGGGGCGCCAACTATGAAAGTGATGAGTCACGTGATCCGCCACCTGCTCCGGTGCCCCCGTGACAGCAACTCAGACTACGTTGGGGGTACCTTCTGGGGAGCTAGGGGAAGGGACAGGTTTGCCACCTAGCGCTAGAGCCGCGGTCTGCCACCGCTGCCTCACGAAGACAGAGTGCAGCCCGGCCATTCGCTTCGCTGTCACGGAACAGCGACCGAACGCCCCGATGGGCACAACGCGCTCCCACGTCCCGAGCGCGGTGTGTATTTACGCCAATAAACCCAGCATAATGCGCATTCAGACACTGCCCCGGTTAGTACAGTGTTAACATACGCATGTAACTCGGGTGCTCAAAGCATGACAATCCAGGCTGCATTACTACTGTAGGAAGCAGGTATTTGGAGACACAAACAAAGCGAGGCATTGTGCGCTATGGAGAGCAAACCAACACAGCACCCTTCCTGAGGGCGCGGTAGCCCCCAGTCCTGGCCGGGGGAGGGGAGCTGGCATGAGGGAAGACGTGCAACAGCAAACACGTTAGTGGCTTTTTCTTGGTTCGAAGGTGGCACGGGGACACGCCACGTGCGCCCGCTGCGCTAGCCCTGCCGCCGCGTCGGCAGGGTGGGCATGCAGGCTGAACTGCGCCCCCTTGGGGACAGTTTTACACTCAACTGGGTTAATGTCGTGAGCCCCCACTCCGCACATGGGTACCTTCATCTCTTTCAGCCCCTGCATGTATTTGCCTTCCACATCCTGAATCTGGTCCTTGAGCTCATTGAGTTCCTGGGGGGACGGCAAGAAAGGCGAGTCGCGTCGGTGGAAGCGGACCGGCCCGCAGGGACAGAGCCGGGTCTCGGGGCCTTCCTGCTTCCGGGGCCTCCTGTAAGTCTGGCAGGGGCTTCCCTCTGCTTTTACGAAGCGTCGGGAAAAAACAGAAATTCCCGTATTCCCGAGATTAAAAGTTAGGTGTATTGCATGATATTTTCACGTGGTTTTTTTTATAAAACTTAGGTCTCTCTCATGTGCTCTTTTGGCAGTTTTATAAAACAAGCCAAAGCCCTTCGGGAAACGGAACAAGAAACGTCACTCGTGGTTAAAGGTTCACTCGCTCCTGGAGTCCCCCCTCCGGGCTGGGTACAGCAGGATGTGAGAGAGAGAGGGAGGGAGAGAGACGTCCGCGGGGCGGGGCCCTGCCTCCCAGACCCCCGGTCCTGCTCTGTCCGCCGCCGCGTCCCTGGTGCCTGGCGTCTGGGGAGCCAGAGGCTCCGTAAAGGCTCATCAGACAAACAAACAAACAAACAAACAAACGGCGCAGAGACGAGACCAGACCGCAGCACACGTGGTTGCGAGGGACGGAAGGAACGTCCTGGGCCGTGGGCAGCGGCCCAGGGACGGCACCTGGGACTGTTCAGGGAGAATAGTCAGAAAATGCTCTTACAAAGCACAGGCGTTGGAAGGCACCTTTGCGGGACCCTGGGTGCCCCCGCTGGTGCTGAAATCTCTCCTCCGCCCTGGCAAACGTGGCAGCCGGTTCTCTCTAACCGGCTTTAAGGATTAGAAAGCGCTTCTGTAAACGAAGCAAATCCGACCCTTGAGGTGCCTCCCTTGCTCCCAGAGGACACGCGCAGCCTCCCCTTCGGACGCAGGTACTTGAACAAACAGCGCTGCATTTCTCTCTCAGGCCCGGAGTGTTGACTACGTGAGCGAGTAAGGTCCATGTTCCAGAGGGAGAAGGAAACACCGCTCAAACGCCTCGCTGCGGTCCACGGAGGTGTACGGTGCAGAGAGGGAACGGCCGGGGAGGGCGGAGGGCAGAGGGCAGAGTGGGCCAGCGCCTTCGCGCGGCTGGGCGAGCACAGGCACAGGGGTGCCCCCGAGCTGAGGGGCGCAGGGCCGGGGAGTCAGGGGCAGCTTCCTGCGAGAGGCCCTCTCTGAGCCGAGCCTCAGTGTCACTAGAACGCCTGTGCGTGGGAGGCAGGGGAGGCGGGACTGAGAAGGAAGGTCTGGCAATTAGGAATGAAGGCCTTTTTTCCCTCGAAGACCGATTTTAGTAAAGGGTCACACGCGGGCAGGGCGCCTTACCTTGATTTCCCTGATGGACGCCTCGGTGTCGACGGAGACGGAGGTGTCCCCGCTTCCCCTCCGAGCAGAGGTGCCGCCCAGCGAGGCCAGGGTGGCTGCGGACAGGCCGGGCAGGCTGCGGGACCCCTAGGGCGAGCCAAGGACCAAACACAGATTCAGACCAAACCAGCGTCTCTTGCGCGCCTGCCCTCACGGCACCTTCCCTGGACCCGGCTCCCACCTGGAACGCCTCCCGCGGGCTCGCGGGAAGCAGCACAGACGGGGCCACACTGGGGGCCGGGGAGCTTGGGGGTCACGCAGGATTCACCTCAAGCTCCACGGTGGGGCCACGCTCACCCCCTCACTGTTCAGAGGGTTTAACACACACACTGGGAGAGGCCCCCGGGGACCCTCCTTGAGGCTGTGACGCCGGACGGTGGGCCTCACGCTGGTCCTGCTCACTCACCGCCCGGTGAAGGTCTTTATTAAAGATCAAGCAACGTACTTTCTTGTCAGTTTTACCCCTAAACGTGGGGACCCACGAGGTTTACCAATGACGTGACGGGAAGGCTTGCGGGAATTGCTCACCTTTTCAGTGAAATCCTTCTCTGGTCTCTCTTCAACCTGGAGAGGAAAGTGCACACGTGTTACACAGAAGCATTGCCTGGGTAATCGGGATGCAGGGGTAAGACGATAGTAAAAGAACACAGAGCTTCCGTTGCGATTCAAAGCCCGCTTCGCCCCCGGTCCCCACCGGCACCGACCCCAGAGGGCCAGGCCAAAGGTCCCCGCGTGGCTCCCGACTTCTCCAACTCCCTGGGGACACAGCAACGCCGAGGCCGCACCGACCAGAGAAAGGCCCACACACGAACTTGCTAACGAACTCGTTGGCAGAGCTTGACCTCGCAGATTCCCACCGCCCTGCATGCGGGTCCGTCCCCACACAGGAGGGGGCGACATGCCCCACGCCTGCCATCCCTATGAGCGACTGAGGTTAGACAGCAAGAACCCACGGGGCCCCGGGGCTGCACGGTGCGCCCGCAGGCGTTTTCATTCTGCCTGTCGCTGAACTTGGCCTCTGAAGCAAGAGAGAAAGCTGCGAGCCGATTGTAACCTTTCCTACTTCCCACGAGTGACTGGGTCGCGCGAAGCTTCCGGTTTGCATATCCTGGAATGAAACTGGGAGGCTGGTCGGGGTGGGCGAGGGGGCTGAGGGCACAGGACACTCTGCTGGGTGAAAAGTAGGACCCCAAGAATGTGGCTCCTCTCGTCCTTGCTGTTTGGTTGTGTCTCTGAGTCCCGGCTTCTCCCTACGGCAGGTGGGAGCCTCAGGGGGACCCAGAGCAGCCTCGAGGCTGCGTGAACACCAACCCCAGGACATCCCGCGCCGCAAGGCGGTCTCGGGGACAGGCCGCTATGTCTTTTTCTGCCCAGCAAAACGACACTTTCTGCCCTCCCCCTTTTCGTCTTCAGCTCCTTGAGGGCCCCTTTGCAAGCCCCGCTGGGAGGCTCGCGGAGGAGGGGAACCCCTGTGCGCCGCTGTGGCCACGCGCTCCAGGAAGAGCCGCTGCTCTACAGGCCTCCCCCTTGCGCCCAGCCTGCCTCCCGTGGCTCAGACGTTTTTCCGCGGATGCGCCGACCTGGGCAGCGCGCAGCGGAGTCGGCCAGCTCATCGGCGACCTCGGGCTCGCGGCCACCGTGCACGCTGCCCCCGAGCCGGTCCGCACCGCAGGATGAGAAACCCCGGCGCAGGCAGCGGCTGGTGAACACAGGCACTGCGACGGTGACGTCGTCCGCGGGGCGGCAGACGGTGAGGGTGCTAAGCACTGGTTGGGACGGCCAGGCGGTGATGTGCCGTCCAGATGGCCACCCTGGGCCCACGCGGGCTGGAGGCCCTCCCCGTCCTGCCCCCCCCAGGAAGGCTCACTAAGCGCCACCTTCTCTTCTTCAAACTCACACCTTCAACGTTCTCTCCGAGGGGACCGCTAAAATGACACAGCAGAGTGTGACAGCTAACCAGCCAACTGAGGGGATCACGGAATCGGACAACATATTCTTTCTCCAAAAAGAGGCAGCAATTCCAAACCAGCTCTTGGCTCAGGATGACCAGGTTCAAGTCCGGCCCGGGGCCTGGCTGCCAAAGCACCCGGTCTTGCCCACCGCCCACCCTGGGGCCTTCGGGGAGGGGTCTCTGCTTTCCGCCAACAGTCTCCTTCGTGTCCAAAGAGCAGGAGAGAAAACAAAAGTGGAGACTGTGTCTCTCCGGCCAGCGGCTGGACCCAAGGGCGGGCTGGCCCCACTCCCACGCCAGCCCCTGGGTGGGGCGTCCGGGCCTGGCACTCCCTCTGCCCGGGGCGCCTGCTGCCCACGCACCCGCAGCGGCTGTCCTCCAGGGACAGAGCAAGGCCGTGCGGCCGGCGGGGGCTTCCGGAGCTCCGGGCCCACAGGCGCCCTTTCCCCGGGGAACGCAGCACCGTCACGCCCCATCAAGGGGCCGGCGCTGCAGCCGTGCGCCACGCCGCCTGCATGTGTGAAAACGCACGCCCGGAACCGCCCCGTTCTCAGGCGGTGGGCCACGTCGCCGCAACTAGACACGTGGGCGTCGCGACGGCTCTGCCTCAGCAGCCTGCGCCCGCGATCCGAGCTGTGACCGTTTCAAGCGTGGGGCTTTGCTCCGCTCGGGAACAAGGCTATTCTTGAGAAGCTCAAACAGCTAAGGAGCAGGGAGCTGCCCTGCAGCGCCCGGCCTGCTGGGAATGGACCCATCAGACTTCCCGGGCCCACGGCCTGCGTCCCCAAGAACGAGTTAGTCTGCAGAACGGACGTTGGTAAGATGAAAATAAAGGGGCGATTTGACTCCCAGTGGCACGAGAAGGTCCAGTTTAACGGGCCATCGAGCTCTGCTGAGAAGCCAACCGGTTCTGGCTTCGAGGTTTAAAGGGTCGCTTTACCGACTGACGATCAGCAGCAGAGGAATGAAGCTCCAGAAATCCTGCTTCCACCCACAGAGAGGTCTGTTCCCATAAAAGAAAGACCCCTAATTTTTTTTTTTTTTTTTAGTATTTCTTGTGAGAAAGAGAAGAAAGCATACACGTCAGAGCAAAGCAGCAGTCTCGGGGGCCTTAGCGCAGCTGGGCTCTGTACCATGCGCTTGCACCGCAAACGTGGAGCCGACTGCTCTTGTGATTCTCAGGGAAGGAAGGAAAAGACCCCAAATCATAGCTTGCTCTTTAATTAAAAAAGTAGTTTTAAAAAGCCCTGTCCAGGTGGCTCAGTGGGTTGGAGCCTCGTCTCGTACACCAAAAGGTTGCAGGTTCGATGCCGGGTCAGGGCACATACCCAGGCTGCCGGTTCTATCCCCAGTTGGGGTGTGTTCAGGAGGCAACCAATGGGTGTTTCTTTCTCTCTCTCTCCCTTCCTCTCTTTGTGAAAGTCAATAAACATATCCTTGGGAGAGGATTAAAACAGTTTAAAAAATAGCTTTTAAGAAGCCTCTATTTTCGCGTCCATCATGGACTCAGAAAGTGAAGACTGAGGACATGTTTTTGAGTAGAGACCATGCCGGAAAAGCAAAGCTCTTGATGACAGTGACAGCCAACTCGTGCTTAACTGTTGTTTCCGATCGCTAGTCCACGCGTCAGAGTAACTGTGTTTTGTTCCTGTTCCAAATCACAAGGGACAGCTGTGTCCGCCCGCCTTCCTGAGACACGAGTACCTGGAGCCCCCGGGAAGGTAACTGAGTGCGCTGAAGCTGCTGCAGTGTCCCGGGATCCCACTAGATGGCAGTGTGCTAAGCCGTCCGGCACGTACGGGCACCGCTTTAGTAAAGCACCCCTCTGTCCCCTAGACAAAGGGACAGGTAACTAACCCAGACAGTGCGCTTAATTCTGACACACAGCACGGCACTTTACCTCTGAAATAACCCACAAAGAAACCACACGGAAGAGCGCCACGGTGGCCGCGGCAGGCCGAGGTGTGGGGACCGCCCCTGCGGGCACCAGCGGCCTCGCCACGCCTCCTGCCGCCTGTTGTCTCCACCCCTCTCGTTTTCTGAGCAGGGACACCAAGCGCCTTGGTCAGTGCGACAACCTCACAGCAGGCCCAGCAGGATTTCAGTCCCCGCCGAGCGCACACAGGACCCCTTTCCACACCTACTGGGAACAGTCACTTCTAAAAAGGTTCCCGTGGCATTTTAAGCCGTGGCAGCTCCTCCTGTCAAAGCAAACGCTCCCAGGGACGCCGAGTGTGTGGGTCACCCAGCCCTCTGCCGCCCTCTAGGGGACGCGACAGGACTCACTTAACTGGGGCGTCTTCGGGGCGCGATGTTCCGGGGTCCCCACCACCACCTGGCCGCGCCCTCTCCACTGAGCGCACACAGCCTGTGGGCCGAGGGGCCAGGCGGACAAACACTTCGCCCGAAGGCGTCTCCAGCCCCGGACCCGGGCAGGAAACAGACCGCAGAAACAAGGCCATGGCTTAGTCGCTCTCAGCAAAAAACGGACGATAGTGAACACAGCTCAGAAAACACCCACCGGAAGGGCCATCTTCCTTCAAATTTACACCGTAGTGGAGCCTACCATTCGGGCAGACGTTTTTGGTTTTAAATCCAGTAATACTGACATTACCCCGAGCGACCTGTCCTTGAACTCTCGCATTCATAACTCAAGACCCACTTCCCCACCTGGTCCCTGCTCACGCCTCCTTGTGCCACTTACGACGTGAGTCACGAGAGACTTGTTTTTCTAGCTCCAACAGCCCAGAGATCCCGGTTCCTCTCGCGTGTCTCCCTGGGCTCACACGGGCCAGGAGGAGCTGAGCTCTGCCCAGGGCGCCCCAGTGGCTGTGTCCACGACGCCGATTTGGGGCCTGCGAGACACAGGCGTGCTGGCTTCGCCAGTGAGGCCTCTGCTCGGGGCGGCACCTGGCCTGGCGGCCAGAGTCCCCGAGTCCAGCTCTCTGGAAGCTTCCGGCATCCCCCCCCCCACCCCGGGAGCCCACGCTGCAGAGTTGTTGGCTGCACATGCCCTCTTGCTGTGTCCTCTCCCCGTCTGTGTGGCCGTGAGAGCAGAACAGGTGTTTGCTCACCACTGGGGCCCTGGGCCTAGAACATTCTAGGTGCCCAATGAACTCTGGCTGAATGAATGAACCCCAGCTTCCCAAGGGGATGGTCCTGGACTCGCTGGAGAAGGGAACATAGCTCATGCATGGAACGGGGACGTGGGAAGGGGTTGGGTCGTGCGTGTCCCTCAGAGACAGGCAGACCCCCTCTGCTCTCCCACGTCGCGGGGGGGACCGCGGGGCTGGGGCGAGCTGCTCGGCTTTGGGTGCCGATGCCCCTTTGTTCCTTGAAGTGGGACAAGCTACCATTTCCTTCATTCTGGTTGCTTTGCTCCTCCCCCACCCTCCACGGCACCTGCCCCGCCCCCACTCCCATTTCCTCCCCAGCAAGACCCCTGTGCCCTGTCCTCACTCCTGCGGCCCCTGGGTGCAGAGTCCCCACGAATCACCAGGTCGGCGGCCGCGCCCCACGAGCTACGGTGCGCTGCCACGCCTCCCGCCCCGCAGCCCCGCCAAAGCCCAGTTCTTTCATCGCTTTGTTTATTACGGGTTCGTGACCCGCTCTTTCCAGATAAAGTGCAGAAGTTTACATGCCTGGCCAGGTGTCGCGGCCAGGAAGAAGAGCTGGGACATGGCGACCCGGTGACTCCCTGCCCCCCGCACGGTCAAACGCCACTGTGACCGCACCCCCTGGGGAGCGGCCCTGCCCAGCACAGAGGTGTCTCTGCGGTTTAAGGACCACACACAGAGGCGTCTTCAGCTTTGGCATCCCCGCCCCCCAGGAGGTGCTCGGATGGGGCCTTGGGGACAGCTCGTGCCACACAGTCTGCGGGAGGCTGACCTTCGCTCCCTCCATCTGTCCACAGCATGACTATCAGATGACCTTTGTTAAGTGAGCAACGGACTGGGGAGAAATGGGACTGAACTGATTTCCTGTTTGTGACCAGCTGCCAATCAGCTCGGCCAGCACCTGTCGGCCCAGAGCGCCGAGGGCCCGAGGGACGCAGCGGGCAGGTGAGAGGCCCCCTCGGCTACACACTCAGGGTTAAAGAGAGACCTGGAGTTGGGAGGGGCCAGGGCTCCTGCACCCATCGCTCCCTTTGCTCCCCTGACGCCACCGGGAGAAAAGCAGCCCCCCCAGAGTGCCCCAGGATGGGGGCTCAGGCCTCGCCAGGCCCCCGGTGCCGAGGCCACGCGCCCCGGTCCTCAGGCCCCGGGACACGGGGCCCATCTCACGCTCCCCTCTCGGCTCGTGGCCTCCTACCAAACTGGGTTACGTGAGCTGCTGACGAAGCCTGAACGCCGCCCGATCTCAGGTTTTACGGTTCCGGGCTTCCCCCGAGCGGGGCCGGGCAGCACGCTCCGGGGCCAGAGCGCGGACCGCAAAGCCGCAGCCGCGTCCGGTCCCGGCGAGCGCCCGTTTTCCCGGCCGATGAGTGAGGCAGGCCACACAAGGGCCGCGACCGGGCCTGCGCGAGTTCCCGCGGAGAATGTCCGTTCCCGGCAGTTCGGGGTTTCACACGGGTGAGATCATGTGTGAAAACTCAGGAAACCGACCGAGCCAGGGGTCGGCGGGAGTTCGACTTGCAAATGTTGCCCTCAGTCACGGATACAGGGTCTGTGAGGAGCGATTTCGCGGATTTAAAAAGGGAAGCCACACGCCACGCAGGGACTGGGTGTCTCACTCTTCTTGCCGAGTGGGAGCGCCTGACCGTGAGGGCAAGCTTGCCACCCAGCACGGTGTGCTCAGGACGAGGCTTCCCCCATCCCCTCCCGCGGGTCTCCAGGATCAGGGTGGCGAGGGGCGCGGTCAGTGGCTGCAGCTCACACGGAGGGGCTCTCCCTCATTGACTTTGTTAAGTGAGCAACAGACTGTTCCCCCACCTTGACCCACCTCCTGTCTTCTCCCCCGTGGGTGAGTGGTGGGAAGGGACATTTCTCCACCTCCCGGAATGCACCGGGGCAAGCCCAGGCGTGGCCGGCTCCGCCTTGGCTGTGGCGCCAGGGGCTGAGGGAGGGGCACCGAAGCCGCGCCCCGGCTGGGCAGCACGTGCTCCATCTCCGGGAGTCCCTGGGTCTGTGTTCCCAGAAGCAGCCCACATCTGCATCTGGTAGGAGCCCTCAGGGCTTTGAAACACTGCATCTAATTTAAAGAACAAACAAGCCAGCAGCCAGCAGCCCCTAGTGGCGGACAGCACCTACCTGTGCAGGGAGAGCTCCGCTCCCCGGCTTCTCTTCGGCCTCGCACCGGAATACCAGGCACAGCGCCTGAACTCCAGGCAGCCAGCGTCACAGCAGTGTCGGGCACTGAGAACCACGCTCGCGCTTCTCCGCGGCAAGGGGTGGAGAAACTGGCCCGGTGCCGCCCGGCTCTGCTTTCCTGGGCCCAGGGTTTGTCCCGGACGCAGTGCTGGCCGGCACGGACGCCCCCTGCTGTGCACACACAGCCCAGCTCCTGCCCACGGAACGCCCCCTCTCTGGTCACCCGGCGCCCCCCTGTTCCTGGCTGTCCCCTGGGCAAAAGTACCCTGCAAACCCCTTCTCGTTCAGAGACTGTGGACCCGCCTCCTACAGAGACGGGGTGAAACTGCCCACAGTCCCTGGACTCCGGGCTGCGCACACAATAGCGAGTCTCCGAGGGTGGGTGCCGGGTCGTGGGGCCCCTATTCTCCCGAGCAACACGCAGGTCGCCCCGCGCTGCACGACCAACAGGAGCACAGCCCTGCCTGTTCACACGGACCAGAGGGTCTGCAGCCCGGGCGGTGGGGTGTGGGTCCCGCCACTGAGCGGCCCCCTGGAGTGTGTTTTTAAAACCACCTGGGTCGAATAACCAAGAATCTGCCAAACAAAATGCTATTAGTCAATCCTTCCCATTTTTAAATCGTAGAAGCGACACATTGGATGCACATGGCTACGTTTCTCCCCCGCGTTCAAGGCCGCCCCCTCCCAGGAAGGTCCCCCTCCCGGCACCGTGCACGGCCCCCCGCAGCGTCCCTCGGCAGTGGCACGCCGACAGCGCCGAACAGGCCCGTTCCAACCGGGCAGCATGCCCCCTCCCCGCCCCCGCGCGGGTGCTTAGACCCCGCAGGGGGTGGGGCAGCCTTGCCCTTTCCCGCGTCCTGCCCGGGGCGCAACGGAGGGCAGATGGCGAGCAGGGGAGCCGAGGCGGCGGACGCGGGCTCACTCACCACGGGGCTGCCCCGCGCCGAGCTGGCTCTCGAGGAGGCGCGGGAGCTGGAGCTGAGGTGGCCGCTGTGCTCCGACGGCTGCCGCCAGCCCGCGGGCGCAGGAAGACAGAGACAAAGGGACAGGGTTAGCAGAGGTGCAGGAGGGTGGACGCCCCGCCCAGGGGGCCGTTAGTGGAGAGGCCGGCCCCACGCCTGCAGGGGACAGAGGGGCGCGGAGCCGGCTTCCTCGGCTCGCTGAAGAGCACAGAATGCGGGGTTAGTAGGGAAAGTGACCCAAAGCACCGCCGGTGGGGGACGCACGGGAGGCCGCCTCCTCGCCGTGGGCAGGACCGTCCGGGAGCCGCCTCCCCGCCCAGCACGGCGCCTGGAGAGCCAGCCGGGCCTGGTGCTGGGCAGGCGGACGCGCGCTTCTCCGCTGCCTTCCCGGTGAAAGCCACGCAAGAGTTAGGGTCCACGCAAAAACCAGGCAGGGCTTTGTTAGGTGCCCCGGGGCGGCCTGTCCCGGGCGTCGGTCTGTCCATCCGCCCAACTAAAGCATCTCTTCCAGGGGAGGAAGCACCGGCAACTGATTTGTCTAGAAGCCACGGCCTCCCCACTTTGATTTCTCTTCTTGGTCCTCATCCTAGGTACATTTCATATTTTCTTGTTTTTTAAAAACCCTTACTTTCCTCTTGTGCGGGGCAGGGTGGGGGGCGGGGAGGCAGGGTTCCAGCACCAGGCATCCAGCGGCTGCGGCGCGGCCAGGGGAGCAGCCTTGCAGGGAGCCCTTCCCGACACCGGGCACCCACTGGGACGCCCGCAGGCATCGCCCCTCCTGCAAATGTCAGGGCCACTGCGCCTCGGGGGGCCAGCTTCATCGGCCTGCGCCGCCAAGGCGAGGTCTGCGTGCATTTCGCTCCCCATCCAGAAAAGGCCTGGCAACGAGCGTGCTCTCAAAAAAATACTTGTTGAATGAAAAACTTCACTTTTAGACCATGAACAGCCTGGGTCAAGGTGAGCCAGTTCCCCGCAGCCGTCCTACCTCACCCACTCCTTCATCGGACGCGTATTTATTGGATACGTACACTCAACGTGCACGCTGTTCTCAGGTGCACAGACCAGCGTGTGTAAGAGCCCCGGTCACAGGGGCTGTCCGAGAACTTTGACGGTGTCACGAGCCTCCTCTCATAGCTCCAGTGAGCGAAAGAAAGGGAAAGGCCTGCCCCGGACCACCGGGCCCTCGCGCGGAAGGACTCGGCACTGGGCTGGCTGAGAAGAGAGCAGCGGCTCCCTCCTGAGCTGCCCGCCCCGCCCCGCCCCGCCCCACGCAGCACCCTGGGCGAGGGCGCAGAGGCAAGGCAGAGAGTGAGCAGGGCTTGTTGCCGGCCCTGGTCTCCGCAGCTCCTTGGTCAGACGCTGTCTCCGACCCTCCGGCCTGAGAGGACCATAGAGAAGACGCGCCCAGTTTGCATCGCTGCGGCCGGTAGGCCGCACGCCGGGAGCGGCTTGTGTTGGGGACCGGTGGGGCTCACGTGGGGCTCAGGGAACTTGGAACGATCTGAGCACTGGTCCAGGCTCCGTCTGCTATTGGCCAGGACACCGCGGATTCGTGACTGAGCCCGTCGCCTGTGACATGGACGCAAGGACCCTGACCACACAGAGGCGCCGAGGACCGCACAGGAGAGCGCATGGGGTGAGGGGGGGCTTTCCCCTTGGTTCGCTTTTCTGCTGGAAACAGCTCCCGCGGCTGCCGCTTGGAGGGTGGCGATGGCTGCCTCCCGGCAGGTGGGAATGCCACGCGCACAGCTCAGGGCTTCCAGGCAAAACAGTCACACTTTCGAAAACCAGCCCTTGAGTTTCATTTAATCATAGTGAAGCCATGTAACTGTAAACACCCTGTGGGGGAGGCTAACTTCCTGGGGCAGTGAGACCAGGAAGGTCGTCCGAGGTCAAGGCTGCCCTGTGCAGGCCGAGCAGCCAGGGCTCTGAGGTGGCGGCGCTCTGGGCTCGGGACGGGGTGGGCCCCGCGCTGGTGCATGCGGTGCGTGCGTTTATCAGAGCCACGCCACACGCCACTCGCCACTCGCCACTCGCTGGGCGGAGAGCCCGGGAGCTCTTCCCCCAAGGCCCCCTCCTGAACGTGGGGCCCCGGCTGTCCACCAGGGGGCGGCCATGAGGGGGGCCGGGGAGGGAGCGGGTGAACCTGCCTCCCATTCTGCCTGCTGCCTGGCTGCCGGTCTCTTCCGAGGGCTTTCGCCCCGGGGGCCAAGCTCCCATCAGGCGGAGAAGGAAGTCCTTTTTATTCTCTTTTACTTCGTGGCCATGGCTTGATACCAGGGGCGCGGGCCTTATTTTAGGAGTGTGTGCCCGCAGGACGAGAAGGCCTTTCATGTCCTCCACCCGACAGACGCGCTCCTCCCAGGGGACCCTGCGGGAGGCTGAGAACGCAGGGGCAGCGGTTCCGCGGAGAGCGGTCGGCGGGCCAGCGGCTGTGCCCTGCAGGCCAGGGCCGCCGCTCAGGCGAGTCCAGCTACAGAGGCGAGGTGGAAGGGGGCCTCTGGGGCACGCATCCCGCAGGCATCAGACAACCTGGGGCGCCCGAAAACTCAGCGCTTGGGGAAGCTTCATGCTCTTAAAGGGCTAGTAGGTTGGCTCTTTTCCGATCAAAGAAAATCATTTCGTTGCATTTGACCATCACATAAAAGCTAGAGCTATTTCCTCCATTAGGTTTATGAACTTTTTAATGGTCTACAAAAATATTTAAGAACTGGGAAAAAGATTTAATCCACAGGCTCCACGACACAAGAAATGTTACACAATATAAAACTGATAAATGTTTAATTAGATGCCAACAAAATGAATGCTATGTCAATTAATTATTAGATATAATATTCCTAAGAATTACATTCCAAAGAAAACTGTAAGTTAGACTGGTTACTTTGTAAGAATCCCTGAGTATTCACACTGATCGGGGAAATATTTAAAACGTACGAGATTGGATTACTTAGGTAATTTGTGAAGTAGCCAATCATTTTCAAAAGCAAAATTGGGAAAACACTTTCAAGTATTTCTTAGGAAACAATTCTCCTGCACGTGGGCCTTGGTGTGTCTTTACAGGCCTTGTGGAGGCGCTGCAGACAAGACGCGGGATCCCCGATGGCGGGGGTGGGGGGTGGCGGGGGATGGGGCTGACTCTCTATTCAGCTGGTCCTTCGGGACCCGCCCATTCGCTTCCTCACTTCCAGGGATGGACTTATTTCTCCCCTTGTTTACTTTTATTATTCACTCCGTGTTTTCATTCAACAAGTATTTCTCGCACAATTACCAAGCCTTTATTGTGGTACCATTTCCAACCCTTTGGGAAGATGAAATAAAAAAAAGGAAATGCCCGTGTTCTGAGGCTTTGACTGTGCGCATCTTCCTCAGTTACCGGGAGGTGAAAAGACCTCGGGCCAGTTCAGCGCCCCTTCCCCCGCCCCCGGGGTTTCAGGCCGCCCCCCCGCCCGCCCCCACGTAAGCACAGCCAGCGAGCTGCAGGGCAGGGGCCGATGAGGCCCACACACGGCTCGTCTTCTCCCTTCGACGGCACTAGAAGCTGACGAGCGCGGACGTTGAACTAACAACCACAAGCATCCTGGGTCACGTCACCTCACCCCTGACCCTTAGCACAACGGACAATGGGGACAAGACAGTGTTTCCTCTCTGTAGCTCGGGCCCCCGATCTCGCGGGCTGGCACAGTGGGAGAGGGCCAGCCCGGTCATGCCGCTGGTGGGAGAGAGCTCCGGGCACACAGACAGGGACTTACGGCCTGCCAGGCGCAGGAACCTCCCCGCCGAGTGCCGCCGAGACTGCTGTCCTCCCACTCAGACGCCTGCGACCAAAACAGACCGTCAGGACCGGGCGCCCGGCCTCTCCCCCGGCACCCAGAACACAGCAAAACGTAAGCGAAGGAAGACGGCCACGTGCCAGGGACACGAGGGGGGACATGCAGGGAGGTCACAGGCCCGGCCCCGGGCAGCGTGACAGGGAGGTGCTGAGGGACGCACGGTGTCATTGCTCTTGCCCGCATGCAATGTAAGGGCCGAGTGATGCTTTAAATCAGTGACTCTGAAGAAGCAGCCCTGCGAGGGGACAATTTGTTAATCCAGGTTTAATATGAGCAGATCCCTCAAATATCCTGCACTTCCTCGCGGCCTCCGCGTACCTGGCGTTTAGACAATGACTCTAACGTGAAGTGGCTCTGGAATGAAAAGAGACGTTAATGACAGTTCGACTTCTGTAACTTTTAAAATACTGTAAATAGGAAAAAGAAGAACAGGTTAACGTGAAAATCCCGCGGAATCAACCACCGCGGGAGAGCAGGAGTTGCGACGCCCCGCGGGGCCCCGCAGCCGCGCCCAGCATGGGGGGCCTCCGATTTCCCCTCTGTCCCCCGATGCAGCTGGTTTGCTCAGCCACTTATACGCACATCTAATTCATAAGCGTGCCATCCGAAGGAGATTCAGAAAGTTGTGAACAGCCCAGTTTTAGCCACTTTGAATATTTACGTTTCCCGCACAGCCCAAGCACCTCGTATTTAAAACCAGACATTTCCAAAGCGACACAGTGCAGTGGATTAGTACCAGCTGACGTTCCACCAAAGCACTAAAAAACCACCGTTCTTTCTGCCAGGGAACGAGGCAGACGCCTTGCTCCATCCCTGCACAAGCACTGCCTTCCTGGAGGCCGCAGCGGGCGACGGCTGCTGTTAGCTGGCCGAAGGGGCCCGACGGGCACCCGGCACGGGGAAGCCCCGCGGCGGGGACGTGGTGCAGGGCGGGTGCGCATGCACGGCGGGGCGGTGCAGGGTGAGGTGGGGTGGGCCCGCCCCCGGTGACCCCCCGCCGACGACAGCGAGGGGCCGCGGGCAGCGCTGCACAGACCGGAGGGCTGGAGGACAGAAGGGAACGGCAGGTTTTCAAAGCCTTGGAGAAAACCAGCGACGAGCCGTGACAGGCGACCTCAAGGCTTTCGTTAGCGTCACAGCCCAGGGGACAGAGCCCAGGCTTCCAGCCAAGCCGACAGATGCAAGCGCGGGTTTACACGGAAGACGGGTATGAGGAGGCTTTTCACGTGCGAACAGTAACCTTCCCCGGAGTCTCTGATGCGTGACTCTGTTTTAGTCACTTCTTTCCAGGCATCCCTGGGAGAGAGGCTGAAGGCTGAGACAGAAGGGGACAAGCTCCACGGCCCGCCCAAGGGCACCCAAAGCCGGGGCTAACCCACAAACTCCCAGCAGGAAGGGTGGGCGGGAGCGCACTCCCTTCTATCCGAGGGGCCAGCCCGCGGCCAGGCCCGAGCCGGGCGCACAGGGGCGTGCCGGCACCGACGGCCGGGGCGGCCGCGACAGAGCTCCGGACGAGCATCGTGACTCATTTCCGGGCGCCCCCAGGCCAGGGGACACGCACGACTGCGGACGGATCACTCAGCGGCGCGAGGGAGAGGACAATGCAAGGAGGTGACTAGGCAGCCTCCGCGACGTGACCGGCACTTGGAGCTCTGACCCGGGTTTCCTTGTGTGAGAACCGGCCTGGGTCCCCAGCGCGCCACAAGCTCTGCCCCGCGACCTCCCCGCACAAACAGGAAGCGAGGGGAGAGTGAGCCGAAGCGCCAGCGCAGTCCTGGCCTCCCCGCGTCGACCAAGGAGTCCAATTAGGCGCAAAAGCCTCCCAAATTGCTTCCTGGACACACTGGCGAGAGAAAAATATTTTTAAAAAACAAACAAAACCCCAAATCGGGAACAATTGCTGGAAAAGGAGGAGAGGCCCAAGAGACCAATTTGGGGGGCCTGGGATTTTGAAAATCCCCCTGGCCTCGGGCCTCCTCCTGCCTAAATTCCTTTTTCCTATATAAGGTCTTCAGTGATGTTCGATAATGTTTTTAAAGGTCGAGAAAAGTCTTAATTAGGAAGTTCGTCAGGCCAATTCAAACCCTGGCTGGGCTCTGCTCTTTGGCGTTCACGCGGAGGAGGGTGAGGTGTCCCGGCACAGGCTCAGCAATGCACGTGGCACACGGGGAAGCAGAGGAGGAAGGAGGGGCGTGGCGGGGGGAAGGCGGCCCCGGCTTCCGCTCTGGGCCGACGGGGCTCTGGGGACAAGGTCGCTGCGGGGATGGCCAAGGTTGGAGCGGGGCAGCCCGTCACTGGAGAACACGGGCGGGGCGGGCGGGGGGGCGGGGGGCGGGGGCAGAGGCTGCCGGCTTCGTTTCACCTCAAAGGCACATCACACTGCAAATTCACACAAGACCACTTTCCGCAACAAAACTGGCAACAGGCATGCACGTGCGGGGGCAGGAGAAAGAAGGGGAAGCGGAAGGAAATCCAGGGGGTCCCGTTAATGCACCAAACTACAACGGGGACCGGACCAGGACTCGCACCTACACACAGGCAGAGACAGGTCCCATCCACCTTAACCGGCAGCGGGGCCCCCGGGGTTTTGAACGTCCTTGTCATTCGAGGTCTCACTTTTCAAGTGTGGTGGGAAAAGCTCCAAACCGAGGCTCTGCGGGGGTAGCACCCTGCCTTCCCCCGGCGGCGGGACACCTCCCCGAAGCCGCCCTCGGCCTGGCCGCGCACGGGCCCACCGAAAGCCGGCGCCCCCGGCTCAGAGCAGACACGGCAGATTCTGATATTCTGGGGGATGCTCCTCTAGACCCTAATAATTTCCCCAAGTAAAATGTCTTGCCCTGGCTTCTATGTCGGGGGTATTCCGCTAATACCCGAGAACAGGACCATCGTTGAAGGTAAAGTGGCTCCACGCAGGTAACTGGATGGCACCCTAAAATGTCCCGCCGTCCTTCAAGGTCCCATGACCTGGGCCCGTCACTCCTGTGCCTCGAATGAGGGGCACAAAATGACCCGAGAGGCGGGCAGGTGGAATTCCGGGGCGGACGGGGGCATCCCTAGCGTCCAGCGCAAATCCCGCGACTGGCGCAGGGGCCCGCGGGGCCAGGAGGGAGACGGCGCTGCGTGGCCCCGTGGGGCGGGGGGGGGGGGGGGGCGCTTCCGCCTCGCCCGGAAGCCCAGGGAGGCGCCTAGGAAGGCATCAGTGCCGCGCACGGCGGCGACACCTTCCCACGACTGGTCCCGTCGACGTCGACGCGCCACGCGCCCACACCCGCAGGAGCAGACGTGGGGGCTGCAGAGCCAGGCGGTGGCCCAGGAGGCTCTGCAGGGGGCCGGCGAGCACAACACGCCCCGCAGCGTGGGGCTGGGGGCGCGTGGCCTCGGGCAAGCTCTGACTTGGAGACACTTGGATGTGGGCTATTTCTCTTAAACAGACTCAAGTGAGTCAGCCACGTGCTGAGCTCCGGTGACTAATTCGTGGCCCAGCACGGGGTCTCCATCACCCTCTTCCCCGTGAACGAGCATCTCGCGTGGAAGGTGAGGAGGGCGGACTTTCCCGAAGGACAAAGTGCTCTTTGCAACAGCAGAAATTCCCTGGAAGTAAGGAAATACCTACAATGCCCCCCACATTCAAGGTGTTCAGGCTCGTCAATATTTTGTGGCTTAGAGCTGATCTCATTTATGTTTGCTCAACGCTCTCCTGCTGGGGGAAGAAGGGCCAGAGCCTGCAGGGAGGCCGGAGTGCGGGTCCCCCGGCGGCCGGGGGGCTGTGGTGGGCGCTGGGCGTCTGGGGGGCTGCGCCGGTGACGCTGGCGGGGGCGGCGGAGCGGCCAGCAGTGTCTGGACGCCACCCTCCCTCCTGCAGGCAGAGGCAGGAAGTGTGGTGGGGCGACCAGGCATGTTAGAGGCGAGGAGACAGACCCCTGCGCATCTGTCCAGTCACTTCCCATGTATCCTTTCTCCCCGCCCCCATTTTCCTAAACCTTAAGGTTCAGAGCACGTTCTTACTTGTGACTCTTGCTGAAGGCGCGTTTGTCCCGGTCACCCTGCTTACCGCGGCACAGGCGCGCCCGGCAGGCGGCCTGCCTTCTGTCCTGGGAGGAAGCGCGGCTGTCGGTGGCCTCCCTTCCTACCTGAGCTCACGCGTTTGCTGGGAGCGTGAGCCTCACCCAGGACAACCAGCCTGCCCTCTCGGGGCCCTTGAGGAACTGAGCAATGTTTGCCTTTCAAAACGGACGCCCGGCCTTGAGGAGGGGGAGGACATTCTTTCCAGGTGCCAGACCCTCCCTGAGAAACCGGCCCCAAGTCTGCATGCACCGTGCAAAGTAATTCTGTTTTCAGGGGCTTTCCAGGAAAGACGTTCAAGGCTTTCTCTTTGCTTTCTGACTAATTCTAACTACAGCATAGCCACATAAACAGTTCCTTTCGCTGTACCCGAGCTCATTGCCCCAGTTTGCTGTCAAACGGTTGAATGCGAATTCAAAAAGACCGCGGGGTGAGTCTGAACTAGATGCATCGTGCTCACTGCTGCTCCACAACGGACTTTGCCATCCGTCCCAAAGGGGATTGGTAACGCAGGTGTTAAAAGAGGAAAGAGCTGAGTTCACACACGCACACGCGCACGCGCACACACACACACAAGGCTGCATGCGGCAAAACCTGTCGTTTCTGGAGGAAGGACGTGAAAGACTTAAATGGAAACCAACCAGCTTCTCCTCTCGGGATAATGACAAAGTGGAGGATCTGCCATCACCGCTGTAGCTGGAATTCTGGGCACCAAAGAAGACATTGTAAGCGACGTGCACCTCCCTACTGTCCCCGAAGCCCACCTGTCCCGGTCAAAGGCAAACACAGGGTGCAGAGGCCGCCGCCGGACGGCATCAGCCCTCCCGGAACACGAAGGACTGAGACTCTGCTGCCGCAGAAGTTCTCAGCGACTGGAGGCTCCGGCTGTACCCACATTCCAGGGCCCACGTCTCCGCGAGTCACGTGGTTCAGCGCGGGCTGTTTCCCACAATTGCCCGCATCAGTGTTACTTCCTAAATGGACACGGGCCGGGCTACCACCTCCTGGTCCGGACTTGGTATTTTGCACGCTCTCCTGGCCAACTAGACCCCATGCACGGCAAACTCTCCAATCTCCCTTCAGGCCAGTGCGCCCGGAGGCCCCGGTCCAGCCCTGCGCCCCAGCCGGCGGGGGGCCTGAGGGCGCCGCCCCTTGCGGCTGAGAACCGCTGTCCCCAGACAGCCGCGGTCCTGCGGCTGTCCTCGCCGTGTCCGGACACCTCCTCCGAGAAGCTCGGCCCGGCCCAGCCCCCGGATGGGGGCGGGTGCGCTGGCAGAGCAGGCGCTGTTGGCCGGCGCTCACCCTCAGCCTGCCCCTGCTCCTTCCCCACAGGCAGCGCCCCCGCCCCGCCCCGCCCCGCCGCACTAGGCGCCCCGCTTTCCTCTAGACTCGTCCTGCTCCGGGGCCTGCCCTCCACGCTGCCGTACCAGCTGGGGGTTATTTGGGTCTTCGATCATCGTATTTCTGGATTATTTATGAAATCAATTTTATATCCAAGTTTACTCTGTGATGCACAGTTTTACAGACAACCGTCTTATGTATTTCTCAAGGCATGACGTACATCTTAATAAATCACGAAGCACGCTTGCTCTGGTTTAACGTAAAAATCAAAGACCAACATGTAGGTGTAGGTGGAAGAGGGCAGAAGGGAGGCAAATGGTAATGGGAAAAAGTTTTAAGCCAAAAAAAAGTAATAAAAAATAAAATATACAGCTGTATGTAGAGCCTAGAGCCTGATGTCGCCTCGCCTGCCAGAAGGTGGCCGCTCCATGTTTGGGACACTCTAGAGAAGAACGTGACACTGAGCAAAAGTTGGACACAGAGCGTGGAGCGCTGGGGGGACCGATCAGCCCGGTCCAGGAGGCGAGGGTGGGGCTGGCCTCCCCCTTTGAAACCTGAACACATAATTTAAGTGTATTTATGATCCATCTTAAGACAATTGAGGTACCTTTAAAAAATACTATTTAACACATCTAGTAAAATGTATCACTCCACAAAGGGTGAAGCAAATGTTAAGTCCCGGAGGATTTTGGAGAACTCAGTGTATAAGAGACCTGCAGCAGGTCATGCAACTTCACAAGGTTTAAGTTTAGCCGGCTTAACCTTTTGAAATCCAGAGAGACCTCCTCGATAAACCCTCAGCCCCGTCCCCCCGGGACCACGGGCCCCCTCTGCCGCGCACCCCCACGCCGCAAGCATCCCAACCCCAGCGCCCAGGACACGGGCTCTGCTGTCTTCAAGGCCGCAGACCAGACGTGGAAGACCGGGAATGTCGAATTTCAACATAACAGGCCCCACACACCCCTCGGGCAGTAAAGCAAAGACTGGGCTCATCTTTACTTCCGGATCTTTGAAACATAGAGATTCTTACGAAAAGGAATCTCTGACGCTAACACTTAGAATGTCAGAGGACTAACATTCTAAGGACGTTTACTGGTCAAACGACATTACCTTTTACTCTATCATGCACGGGGAGGGGAAGAAAGAGACTCACTACAACACAGAAAAGAAAAAGCAGCCAAACTGCGCCCCATTTCTGGAAAGCTTTGCAGCAGCCTCTCCGGGTGCCACGCATGCGCATTTACGATACTGACCCTGCCAGATCTTCTGCTCAGGGACTGTGATCCATACAGTTCTCCATCATAACCATTTGTCTGTTTCAATGAAGAAAAGAAGAAAAACTGACATCAGCACACAAGTGAAGGCAGCACGCAGACAGATGCTGACCAGCAAGAGCGAGCCAGGCACCCAGGGGGCTTTCTGAGCGGAGCGGGTGAAGGGCAGCCCAGGAGAGCCCGAAACCTCGCCCCTCCCGGGACGCTCCTGCCTTCCACCTGCCCATCGACAGCACAGCTCGGGGCCCACCCGGCGTCGCTGCTAAATAACCACAGGGCGCCTCCGAGGGACGCGGCCCGTGGGCCTGGGCGCGGCTGCTTTCTGGAGGTCTCTTCCCGCTTCCAGCCTCTCGGCCGCGCTGGGAAAGCCGCAGCCCACGCGGAACCCGGCGCCGGCAGCCGGGCAGCGGGGTGGCGGCTGGGCTTGAGCTGTCAGTGCCAGGTCTTGGTTCGGGCGCGTCTTCGACATGCGTGGCCCACGAGGGCGCTGTATTCAGAAAACTCAGGCACGGCTTCTACTCAGTCCGTAGTTACACGGGAAAGCGCGTCGCAGAACAGTGGGGTATCCGTGTCCTCCGCGTTAGTTTGTCATTCGTCCGGGAAGCCTACTTTTTTCCCCCAAAATGAAATTTGAGGACCTATTTCACGATTTCATAATTTGTTCTCCAGAAAAAAAAAGACAAGGGTCAAGTTCTGTATACGCCCATCTCTTCCATCTCTACCCCCAGCCCAGCACTTCGGGCCTTTCAAGCGGCTCTCGTTCATCTATAAGGACATTTTCTGCTGAGCAGCAGACGTCCCGTGACACAGACATAACCAGCCCTCGTGGCAGAAGGAAGGAGGGGCAGGCCACGCAGCTGGCAAAAAAGGAAGGAGATGCCAGGCTCGCAGACCTGAGTCTGAGTTCCAAACTGAAGCGCGGCGTGGGCGTACCCCACCGGCCCCGCTCCTGGCCCGAGCCCACGTGCACAGAAACACACACCTTCCAAGGCCACCGGGGGGTCAGACCTGAGGAAGTGGGGCAGGGGACGCTCCGCACGTATTTTGCCACCATGACGTTGCTATCGAATCAATGAACGAATTTCCAGACAGGTTATAAATCCAGATTCGTGAAACTTTGACTGTAAAAGTCTATTTACTTTTGCTACAACTCAAAAACCACAAAAAACAAAACAAAACAAAAAACAACCAACTTGCAGTTTCTAAGTTAAAGAAGAGTAGATAGAAATCCCTCATCATTCAATTTGAAAACTTAGGAGAAATTTTAAAACATTCCTGAAGTAAATTTAATAGAAAAAAACATTTAGAGATGGGCAGGAATTTGACTCGGTCTAATGGTCTCATTTCTTCTCTTGACCCACAAGATTATTTGATACGGAAATGTGTGTTCTGCACTCGTATATTCAGACCTCGGCTTAATTCTCTTGATTTCTGTGTAGAAAGTAGTTTCTGGAAAAAAAAAATAGCAATGCAGGCTACCAGCGATCCGTTTTAGGTACCCTTTGCTTTACGACAGTAAGCGAGGAATTAAAACAGATCCCACGGGAACGCTCTGGGCTTCCACTGCAGCAGATGAAGCAGATACTGCGTTACACGAGTCCTTCCTTTGTTTCCTTCTCCAGCGTGGCCGGCAGCCCAGGGCGGAGGGCAGGGGAGGCCGGGGGGCAGTCCGCTGTCATCGGTCACCATTTCTCTTCGGCTTTTCACTGGAGACACGGGAGACGCTGCCTCCGAAGGCTTCAGGGAGCACGCGCCCTTCCATGCTGGGTAGAATTGTCAGGGGAAGTGCACCTCCTAGGACATGTTCCCACACCTGTAGGGTCTCAACACCCACAGTGAAAAGGACTTTGTCCTTCTTAAAGGGACTGCCAGCTCTGCCCTCGGGCGGTTCTCGTGCTGTGTGGAGGCAGGCGGGGCTGCGGCGTGTGCGGCGCTAGGGTCAGGAGCGTTGAAAATGAACTGTAACGTCGGGGTACGAAGCCCACGGGCAGCCGGCCCGCTCCGTGTGGCGTCCCTGCTGGGCAGCCAGCTCTCTCCGCAGGCTGTTTTCCCCGCTTCCTGCTGTGCACCCCCCCCCGCCCCGCCCCGGCTGTCACCTGGCCTGCTCCTGAGCGCCCGGAGCCCCTGACCTGGGGAGTCGCCTGGAAGCCTGGGAGCTGCAGTCTAACGAGCCCCAAGCGGGGGACAGAGAGGACACCAGACACCCAGACTAGCACTTTCTAAGAGAGGAACATAATGCAAGAATTCACGCCCTGTCAAAACCACTCCTTCCAACGGTGAGTCGGGATGAGTCACTCAGTGCTCGCAAGGCATCGCGAACTTCACACGTGGCCGCACAAGGGTCAGCTGTTAGCTTTTTGGATTAACAACGTGAGATTATTTTTCCACGGGGGCAAAAGACAGCTCACCCTCAAGGGCGGGGCGGGGAACAAAAGGAGAAAGTGCCATCGAAACGCTCATGCACAGGAAGTACTGCCGCCCCCCCCCCCGCCGCCCCTGTTAAAACGGAATGAAAACTGAAAAGGAAAGCAGGCCCCCGAGTTGGCCCTGACTCTCGCTGACGCGCGGTGTGGCCTTCCACCCCACCCGGGGCCGGCCCTAAACGTGACTCACTTTCAGCTGGAAATAAAAAGGTTAAACATCTAGAAACGGGTCGCGAATGCATTCGATGACTTAAAGAATGGAAAAGCTGCTCTGGTGTTGTCACAGAAATGCTCTCGTCTGCCAGTGTCACTGTGGAAGAGCACTTTCTGAATCTATGCCATGTCCTTGCAAGTCCCGCGGTCACATCAGCCGCCCTCGTCCCCGTGGCTGAGCCAAGGCCGGGCCGGATCGCCAGTTTCCTCTCTGACTTGCCCCCCCCGCCCCGCCCTGCCCTGGTCCCCTGTCCTTCCGCAGAGCACGGCAGCCTCACCAGGAGGCTCGGGGGCGCTAGGCATGTGGCTGGCACTGTTCACCGCTGCCTTCAAGGCAAGAACACCTTTTTTAAACCCAGGAATGTGCTGAAGAACTTTGAAATGCACCAGACTAAAGGAAGCAGGCAGTGGTTTGGGGCGGCCCTGCAGAGAAGGGGCGAGCTGCTGCCACAGCCCCGCCTCCGGCCAGGTCGCCGGCGCACTCTCTGCTGAGAAGAGGCCTTCGATCGCGCAGTTTGCGCCCACAGGCCTCAGAAGGCAGGAAGCCCAGAAACGCTCCGGGACGGGCGCGAGGGACCAGCTTCGAATCCAAATCGGAAGCCTGCGTCTTGTTGCCGGAACTGCGACCTTTCAGGCAAAGCAGCCCGGTCTGTTCAATTTGAACGGATGCAGGTTAGAAAACAAAAGATTTTTTTCAGGAAATGAAATGACTTTAAATGTAAGCTTTTAAAGGAACTGTAGAAGCCTCTGGAATTCTTGATCTGATTTGAGTTCCTTGAGAGCAAGACACTCTCTTTCCCCCAGCTTGGGACCCAGAGCCGCGGGCACAGCGCGTGGCAAGCAGCCGGTGCTGGGACAGTGCGCGCGCCTGGGCCCCCGGCCACACTGGGTGGCAGCGCCGCGCCCGGGAGGCTCTGGGAGACCACCGCGCAGGGCGGGGCGCCTGCCTCGGCCCGCAGTCCCCGGGGGAGGCGGGCGGCGCGTGTGTCTTTTCGGACAAAGATGCACTTGGCTTTTTAGACAAACACCCAGGAGATTAGTGGGGATGCCACCGGTTATCCTCTGCCACACGACACATTAGGATCACACAGCAGATCATGCAACCGTCTCACCCAGGCGTAGGGGCCTCCGGACTCCACGTCGGGCTGCGGCCGCAGGGGCAGGGACGGGCGAGGAGAACGACAAAGAGAGGCACCAAAAGCCAGTCAAAACACGAAGTGAGACGTCCCCAAACCAGAGGACAGGCAGCACCGAAAATCTCACCCCAGCGGCCACGCTCTTGCGACCGCTGGGGTCCCGCGTGCAGTTGCAAAGGGAGGCACGTTAGAACGACAGCCACCAAGAACCCCGGGACGTGCACTAGGACTTTCACGGCAACTGGTGCTGCAATTCCCCAAACCCGAAGCAGCAAGAGCACTTTCGTTTCCTCCTCTAAACCCCGCCCGTGCTCCGGGCACCTGCAGCGACAAGGACGGCAACAGTGTGGCACCTTCGCAGCTGCGGCTGTGAACAGCAGAGCTAGGGGCAGACGTGGTGCCCACCGAAGTCCGGGAGTGACGTCCCGGTGTCCTTGTCACGGCGATTAAAAACCAGCCTTCCGCCCTGGCGTGGGGGCCCCATCGCGACCTAATCATCACCAAGCGGGCAGCCGCCGCTTCAACCCGCGGCGACCAAACCGACGAGTGCAGACGGGCGTCCGGACCGGCCCCCACACAGGCTCGGCCCCGCTGCCCGAAGCACACTTTGGTTTCCAAATATAATTATGAAGACTTTTGGAAAGTTGAAGGAAAACATGTTTTTGTGTTGATCAGCCACTGAGCAACCGTGAGGAAGAGGTTTCATCACGTTGACAAAGGGGCGTCACCCGAAGGCGAGCAGACATGACCCTAGGACCGTGCCGCCCACACAGCGGCTGGGCAGTCGGCCACGCCATCGCTGTGCGGCTCGCTCCGACGCAGGGCTGCCGGCCCGAGGTGCGGCGTCGGCCGGGGAGCGAGGGGGCCGCCGGGGCGGCCGGCGGCCTGTGCCACGCCCACTAGCGACACCCTGGCAGCTGAATCAAGGGGGGCCGCTCTGTCACATGGGCAGACGCAGGAGAGCCAGTGGCCTCCACTCGTAGAGGAGGCCACCACGAACGTGCCACCTACGCCCACTAGGGAACCTGTCTACAGCAACGAGGGAATCTCCCACCGCCGCATTAGATATTATTTTTCATTAAACAAATTTCTTTTATTGTGGACACGATTACAGGTGCCCCCCCCATCCCCTCCCCCTCTGCCCACCTCCCGAACAGATTTTAAATATGCATCTTGTCGGTTAGCCACGGACGCCAAAGGCACAGGGACCATGAGTAGGGAAGGCCGCTGCAGGGAGGAACAAGCCAGGGACCCGCACACACACCGACCATGCAGGCTCAGGTGCCCAGGTACTGACCCTCAGGCTTCCACGGCTGCCCACGGACATGCGCTCGTCTTCGTCGGAGGCCTAGTGAGAGAGAGGATGGGACGGCGTGAAACGCCCGTGGGACGCAGAGGCGCCGCGCAGCCGCGGGCGGTGGGAGGCGGCTGCCGCCCGCCCCAGGGCGGGGGCCCGGGGGCAGCCTCCGCGCACCCAGCCCGGCCGGCCCGGCCGAGGTCCTCGCCGACCGGGCTCTGCTTGGGCGCCTCTGTTTGCAGGGGGCTGTTTCAGGGCGACCCGGCTTCACGGTCACGTCATTAAGTGCTGTCATTCGCTCTGCCGGCTACGGCTTCACTTCCCAGAGCACACAGGTTTTTTTCAAATAGAATTATGAAGACTTTCGGGAAGTTCAAGGAAAACATGTTTTTGTGCTTATCCCATTAACTCTGCATTTACTCTGTGAAGTATTCATGGGTCTTTGACAGCGAAAAAAAAAAAAAAGCAAAACACTTCACCAATACATTAATACTCAGAAATTTCTCAAACATGCTTCCCCCCTCCCCCAACTCAGGTCAAAATGCTACCAGCTGAGTCCAGAGTTTTCGTTTAGGTAATGCTATGAGTTTTAACTTCTTTGATAAACAGCACTGAGGCACACACATGTGTATACCATGTGTAAACAGATACATTTCGATTTCAGCCACTAGACATGCAAGTCAGACCCCATCTGGACGCCCCGGGAAGGACCGGCCGCGGCACTGACCGACGTGCTCCGCCTGGGCCTGCGGGAGTGGCGCTCGCTGTCCTCCTACCGGAGCGAAGGGGAAAGGGCAGACGGTTAGCGGCTCGCGCGGGGACGCCCTGGCCGGCCCCGCGCGGGCAGAACACAGCGCTTCCGAGGCGCGGCGCCTGTCCAGCGCGCTCCGCCTGAAGGCGTCAGTGACGCTGCGGGGAGGGCCTAGGTGTCCAACGGGCCACACCGGACACACGCGTGACCAGCAGGTGTCACTTTGGCTTTCAAAACAGGGGTGCGGTGGGGCAGATACAGAGTCCGCGTTTTTCTAACCTCTCAGGTCTGCTGCGTGTCCATCCACCCACTTCTTTCCTTCCATTCTGAACTGTCCCCTCCTCCCCGCGGGGACCCTGAGATCAGTGCCTTCCGCCAGGCCCCCTCGTGACGCCGCCCTGGCTGGTGTGTTCTGTGCACCCGGGGACGCCCAGTCCCCATGCGGGACGTCCGGACGCCGGGCCCGTCTTAGCGTCGCAGCTGCTCCCCATGACAGCCGGCAGCGTTTGTCTTTCTCGGTGGCACTGGGGACAACAGCACACCTGCCCACTGTGTCGTCCGGGGGGTAAAGGGACGTCTGCCTGTGTCGCACACGCCTGCCATGATGGTGTCCATGCAGGAGCGGGCGAGGGCCATCAATTTTAGGCAGAGGGAGCGTGTGCTCTTTACGGTCCCAGAACTACTGTTTCCTATTTCACCCAGGCATCGAAGAGGGGAGGGAACCGCTCTGCACTCCCCTGGGTTATTTTACTGCTCCGTATAGGGATGGTGGACAGGGCCTTTCTGCCCTGGCCACGTTCTCAGGCGCTGCAGGTGCGTGCTACCCCCGGGAGGCCGGTCACCAGGGTGGGGGCAGTGGGGCACGCACCCGGGCACCTGAGGCAGTGAGGGGGGGCCACGGCCTTTGGGGGCTGTGGGCAGCACCGCATCCTCCGGGGCGGGGGCGGGTGCGGAAGGGCAGGGCGTCATTAGGGGCGAGCCCGCTCTCCGCGGACACGGGAGGACGGAGGGGCTGTTCTGGGAAGCAGTGAGAAGGCAAAGGAGTTTTCTCACCTAAGGAGGGCGGTGTCCGCGGGCCTGGCGGGCGCGGGGGTGGGGGGGGCGGGGCAAACATGGACGGCAGAGAAGGGTCGGAGGGAGGGAGGGGGCCCACGGACCCCGACGGGGAATGAAGGAACCGGAGCGTAAGCGACCTCTGGAGAGGCAGGATGGCAACGGGAGGGTTCTAAGGCCAGGGACTCACACCCGAGTGTCCCTCGCGGACAGTCTTCTACGCCAGGAGGCTGGGGAGGGTGGAGGACCCCCACCGACGCCGGCCCGGGACCGCGGGCGTCAGCGGCACCGAACAGACTGGCCCGACGCCCGGCCGGGGCCCTTGTGAGCGGGCCTGGGCAGAGGTACACAGCCGGCCAGACGCCGCAGCGACCTGCAGGAACCCTCGGCACGAGGTCAGGGGCAACAGGGACCCGCTGACGCAATTACACCGTGTGACAACCCCATCGCAAACCACGCCAGCTCTTAGAATCGCGTTCCGCCTACCATCCACTGCTCGATGTCGCCCCATTTCGTGTCCAGCCCATAATACTTCTACAGACAGAAGGGAGAGAAAATTAGGCAAGAAAGTGAAACAGGCAGTGTGTAAGGAACTGTTGTGACATGCATCTCCAAGCTGCTGCTCAAGCCACACAGTGCGGGTTACACGCCAAGACAAAGCCGTGACCACAGGTCGGGTTCTGCAGAGGCAGCGCCCCCGGGAGCCTGGGGCCCCCCTGCCCTGCCCTCCCGCAAGCCTGGGGAGCAGGGACACAGCATCGCTGGGGCCGGGGCCGCCCCCAGAGACCAGGGACGGACGGTGAGCCCTCTGCACTGGCTCAGAGGGACAGAGGCTGACGGCCAATCCCGAGTCACCATGCAGGGACAAGGAACGCTGGCGGGGAGAGGGGCCCCTGTGACCGACCCCGGGTCGCTGGTGCACTTGGTGCCGCCATCTGACACCCGTGCTGAACAGGTGCAGGGGACTCTGGGTGTCGTTAGAGCCTCGACTGTAACCTGAGGAAGTAACAGTCAACGCTCCCAGGCATGTTTCAACATCTGCACAAGCAAGGGGCAACGGCTTAAAGCTCTCTTCCCTTCAGGGACCGTTCGCCGGCTCCGCTGTCCGATTCCAGGGAGTAAAATGCAAGGCGGTCAGCCTCCTTTATCTCATGGCCTAATTCCAAAGACAGAGAGTGGGTTTTAAACCAGGAGAAGGGCCTATATAAACCCATAGTCTTATTTAAATGCCAAAAGAAGTCTCTAGTATCGGGCTTCCTGTTTCCATGGTCTTTTCTCCTGTCCTTAACAAGGCCCGCACGCTCTCTGTTGTGCTTTTCGTCATAATCGGAAGAAGCAGCGTTCAGAATCCGCCCTCTCATTCACGGGAGGCCTTACAAGGAGCTGCCGCACCTCTCGCGTGTCTGTGCCGCTCACAGGCTGCGCGGGCGCTGGCTCGCAGGCCGGCGCCGGAGCCCCAGGCAGCACACCACACGCCACACGGGGACCCCGGGGTGGGCCGGCGCGGCATGCGGGCGGGCGGGAGGCAGGCAGGAGCCAGGCAGGAGCCAGGCGGATGCAAGAGGTGCTTGACTTTCAGGAACAGCTTTGACTCCAGAGCAGAGAAACCATCGCTGGAAACAGCCACAGGGGCCGGGAGGGCGCACGTACTGCCTCTTCCTCCTCGTCACGAATCTCAGGGACCGTGTTCCCATCATGCGTATCAACACGTGTGGTGCCTGTGTTTCTGCTGAGGGCTGGGTTTGCTTTGTGGACCGGCGGCCGCCCGGGCCAAGGTCTAACGTGGCATCCCTGCCTGGGACGAGGCACGGGTGCATCAGGGTGGCAATTTCCGGGCAGCGACTCCTGTCCAGGTCTGGGATACTGGCGCCCACCCTGCCGGTTCCAGCAAGGGTCTGCTCCCTCCTTCCCGAGACCCTGCACGCGGGCCTGGCGGGAGCTCCAACACACCTTCTCGTTCTCGGACCCCGCACACAGCAGCCAAGCACAAGCGGGGGCTGGTGCCACTTCACTGACTTCTCTACACACTTGTGGGGACACAGCGAGGCAGACGGGGCGGGGGCAGGGAGGGGCGGCGACTCAGGGCTGTAGCTATGAGAGGAATTCAGGGACTTCCCGCTTCCCGGCTTCTGAGTGTGCGCAAAGGGCCCGCCTGTTCTCGCCTTTGAAATTAAGTGGCCTGCTCTGATTTATTCATTAGCTGCTCTCAAAGGAAAACCTTGATTATTGCCCTTTCTCTGGAAACTGAATACGTTTATATAAAAGGCAACCAGCAGAGGTGTCACATCCAACAGCTTAAACCCATGTATGGGCGCGGCTCTGGGCACGGCCTGCAAACCCCCAGGGACCCGCTCCCTCCTTCCTGGGGCGTCAGCGCCAAACCCGGGGCGTCTCTGGGTGGCTGCCCTCCTCTGTGTCGGCCTCGGGCCTGCTCAGCGCGCAGATTCTGGAAGCTCAGCTGCACATCAGCGCTCTGAGCAGGAGGGACCGGGGCCGGTTTACTGGAAGCTACTGAATTTTACTGTTACGTCCTCAGTTTCTTTTTGAACGCAGATTTTCCTCATTGTCTGCAATCATCTCTTAACGTATGGTAACTTGCATTTTACAGGTTTTCTAATAACAGTCTAGGGAAGGGTAATCTTTCTCTTTAAATATCTGATTTCCACAGGTTTCCCACATTCTGAAATGTAATTTAACTTTGTCCTAAAATTTGCTTTTCTCCCCCTCAAAGAAACAGTTTTCTAATTTCTTGGGGGAAAGGGTGAGAGAGGCATGCGGCGCACACGTGTCGTGTCTGGGGAAGCGGGGTCCCGCGGGGAGAGCCGTGAGCACGGAGCTGCGCATGCTCCTGTTTGCGCCACGCCTCAGCAAAGCGGCAAGAGAAGCGGCAAGACCCCCCACGCATTTCGGTGAAAGCTGTTATTTCCGAAAGCTGACCCGGCCCCTGGCGAGGAAAAGCTGGTCCATGCAAGTCAGAAAATGGAGGAGGGAGAGCCTACCTTCTGAACTTGATAGATCTACAGAGAAGGGCAAGAGAGAGAAAAAGAAACATAAAACGCAGTTTAAAAAGCAGAAACGTCAGCGAGAAAGGTTTTATAAGTGAGAAACATGAGTAAAAGCCATATTGGGGAAAAAGCTGAACAGTTGGCAAAGTATGACTGTCAAAACTTTTGGAGTCTCATCGAAAGACTCGGTCGTTCCGTAGCGCCCTTGACACTCGCTGCAGCCACCGTGGGAGACACAGCGGTGTCCCGCGGGTCCCCACAGGGGCCCCGCCATCATCCTGCGGCGGGAGGCTGTGCTGCAACCATGAATGGGTAAAGCGCTTCGTCATCAACTTAGAATTTCTTTGCCCAGTGACAAAAGTGTAACAAGCAAGCACAGCAGCTTAATTGGAAAGTCAACAGGTCAAATTCACAAACCATGGAGAGAGAGGCGTTCGGGTTCTGCCTCCCGTGGACACAAACCGAGTATCGGGAAGATTCCAGCTAAACGGAGCGCTCGCCGGGGCCTACCGGACCCATTTCATGAAAGCCCATCGCCGGGCACTGCCGTGGACACAGCCCTGGGCTTCGGAGGTTTCTCCTGACGCTGCAGGAATCGCTAGGCAAGGCAGACGCCAGGGCTTCACGCGCCCCTCCCGCCTTCGGCAAAACAGTGGCTGAGTCAGGCATCGCTCGAGGCGCGGCCGGACCGGCACGATCGGAACCTTGGCATTCCTGGTCCCACGTGGGTGGCACAGGCGCGCATCGTCAACGTTGCGGCTGTGTTAGACACCGCGCACCAACAGGCTGTTGATCGAGTCGGCGGCCACCAAAGACACGCACCCCGGTCGCCGTCTTGCCTGGTCGTTGGACCGCCATTTTTGCCTACTCGTTTAGGTTCTCCCACGAAAGGTTCTCCCAAAGACTATCCACCCCCCTAACCCTCTGAACACCCGCCGAGCTCCGCTAAGGGGGCCGGTCCTCACCGTCTGCACCAGGACGAGGCCGACTGGGGCGAGGAGGGCTGCGACGGGGCCACCGGCAGCCAGTCCACGGCCCTGCCCCCGGGGCCTGCCGGGGCTGGGTGACCGGTCTCCCTCCTCGGACGCCCACGCCCCGCTGCTCACCTGCCCCCGCGCACACTCCCCGTGCCCGCCTTGGAGGGTCCCGGGCCGCAGCGGGGCTTCCACCACAACCCACCTCGGAAGCCCCCAAATAGTGTCGCCAGCGTCCCGGCTTCCAAAGGCACCAGGGACGGCCACCGCTGCTCCAGGCGTTCACAGGCTCCGTCCACCTCCAGCCGGTCTGAGCTCCTCCCCCATGGAGCCCCCTCCCTGCTCGGAGACACGCGCGTGCAGGTGGCTGGCTCACCGTCAGCGGAAGACAGAATTCCCCTTCTCAGTTTTTACACCAAAATTTCAGTCCTGCAGGCTCCACGCTGAGCTCAGGCACATACCATTTCCACTTCATCGGAGACTTAAGCTGCCGGCGCCCCGGCGGGCCGACTGCAGAGCCTCCAGCTGCGGGAGCCTCGTCTAATAACAGGCCCAGAGACACGTCTGCAAAGAGGAGGCTGAGGCGTGGTCCGCACACCTTCCCAAATCCTCGCGCACGCCCCCCCGCCCGATGCTCAGGCCACGTCAGCGGGGTTCACTCCCCTCCAGGTGCACACACGAGCGTCACACACCCGCCCGTGCGCCCACAGGAACGATCCCTTGCCCATGACGTGGTCAGTTCCAGAAACAGCCAGGTGAGCAGAGACAGCGTCCATGTTCTCTGTGAAACCCTTACTGCTGGAATGGTCTGTTTTGTGTTGATCACGCTGTTCCTCCCATTCAGCTCCAAGGAGAAAACTTGTTTTTCCGGGTCTGCTTCCACCTGCAAACCAACCTGGCTTGGGCGCCTCGCCCCGCCCCCCCCCCCCCCCCACTCCCGCCAGTACCAGCCTGCTCGCGGCCATCCCCCCACGGGGAACACGCTGGCCTGCCCGCCCTCCGTCCCGGCTTGTTTTCACTGCTGACTGTACAGGGATTTTGAGGCGGAGGGTGGGCTGGGAAGACCACAAGCGTCGCAGCTTTTCCAGATCTAGAGTGAAATCGTGGGTTTTCTTAGCGGCAGGTAAAACCGTCAGCCTCAGTGAAATCCAACGTTCTGCCCTGCAACTGACACTCGGCAGACTCCCCTCCTCCCCCCGCACAACGGTGACAGTCCCCAGGCCTAGGGGCTGCCGCCACAGGGCCGGGGCTCAGGATGACCCCGCCGTTCCGCTCTGCCTCCAGCCCCGGGTCTCTGTGACTAGTAATGGAAGACCCCTCTACTGTGTTTAAAACCTTTCCAATCCCATTTCTGAAAAAGCTGACGTACGCTTTCGACAGCGGTGCCCTCGCACCCCGGCGGCCCTACACGCAGGACACAGCGCTGCCGCGGGGCTCAGGCAAAGGCCCCGGACCGACCCGGGGACAAGCGGGGCCGCAGCCGCCGCCCCGCCTGGCCCTGCTCTCGCCTCCCAGGAGCGCGGGTTCGCCTCCGGTGCCGACCGAAGTTCCTTCCTCGGCTTCCTCCCGAACTCACACCGGGGTGTCGCTGCGCGCCCGGACCGCACGCGTGGGGACGGCCACCAGGCCTGCCACACCGCACGCCCCTCCGGGTCCTCACACCGCTCAACGCCACGCGCGGAAACCTCGCCCCGCGTCTCAGGGCGCCTCTGCGGGGCGGCTCAGCGTGCGGAGGACCCACGTGAGCCAGCCCGTGAACTTGAATTGGGACGAAGCCTGGATCCCCAGGAACCTCTGGAGTGTCTTTACCATGGGAGTGAAACGCCCTGTGACAGGGAAGACTTTCAAAATTTCTACGCCGTCTGCTAACCAAGTGACACTTGTGTACAAGGCTGAGGAAGGCAACGGTGGCGTTTCTAGCCAGTTTTCCCAGGTTTTAATCAGATTTTCTCTGCAAAGCCCCAGAGCCTATGCCGGCAGCCGTGCTGCCCGGCGCCCAGGACCTGGCAGGGGCGCGGGTGGGTTCCGCCTCGGGGCGTCCCTGTGTGGCGGCCACCCAGGCTCCAGCCCACCCCCAGCCCCCGCCACGGGACCCTGACTTAGCCGGCGGGGCGGCTTTCGGCTGTAGAAGTAAAATGAAACAGGATGACGTCCTTTGACCCAAACGGAGAGACGGGCCTTCTCTGCCCAAAGGGGGCCATTCGCAGCCTGGTTTCCGGGCTTCACGCCTTTCCGCTCTGAGTGCCCACTCAAGGGCTCCGCGAAGAGCTCCGAGAGCCTGCTCACGCGAGTCCTCGAGCGCGCGTTTCCACGAGGGCCGTCCGCGATGAAGGGTAGGGTGCATTTCCTCTAAGTGTGTGATTTGGAGGACAGCTACGCAGGCACACATGTTGTGATTATTTTCACTGGGATCTTGTAGACACGTTACATTTGTACGGTTGGTGAAAGTCACTTTCTCTTAAACGTGAGCAAAAGCATGGGACGATGGCTGACGCCGCTGCGGAAGCCAAAGGCAGGGCCCCTCACCGGCACGCTGTCATCTCTCCTGAGCCTGCGGCTCAGCTCCGCGACAGAGCACGGGGACGGTAACAGGCCGCCAGGAATTCTTGCAGACAGGGAGGCGGGGGAGGGTCGGCGCTGCAACGCCATCGGCCGTGGCACAACCTGGCATGGCCACAGAGCTGTGGGGGAGATTCTTCTTACAGCTCTTTTAAGGCCTTAATAGAAAGAGGACTGGGGACCACGGGGGAGAAACAGGAAAAGCCCGTTAAAACCAGGGGCCATGGAGACGGTGGGCGGGCCCTGGCGTGGGGGAAGGGAGCAGCCGCTTCCGCAGGGGGCGCTGGGCCGAGACCGGCCGCTGCCCCGCGTGTGCGCCCTGACCCGACCCTGCGGCCATCCCGCGCTCCAGAGCAGAGGGGAGGCTCACAGCGGGCTTGCGGGGGTCCTGCTGAATGAGCAGAAATATTCGAAAGGGACATCAACCCCAGATGGTTGGAAAAAGCTGTCACTTGAAACACCTGTTAGTACAAACAGGTTCAGGCTAACAGACCCCTTCGGCGAGGCAGCCCCCACAACCACAACGTACCCCGAGGCCGCGCGGGCGGAGGTGGGAAGCGTGGCGTGCGAGCGCAGCCCCCGAGGCGCAGGCGACCCCAGCGGGACCTGCCAGGCCGAGGCCCCTTCTGCGCCCCCCAGCGCCGGACCCGAGCTCGCACGCCACGCTTCTTTGAATGGCCTCCGGCAGTCACTCCCGGGTCCCATCCCAAGGTCACGCCGGGACGGGCAGGCTCGAGCCTGCGCCCTGAGCCAAGACACCGGGCGGCGAGGCGCCGCCGGCTGATCGCCAGGCCTGAGGCGGCGTCCAAGTCCAAGCCATTCCCATGAAAACGCAGGAGTCTCTAGTTCAAATTTTAGGGTGAGACATGCAATTCGGGGGGCGGGGGAGGGCACTGAGAACATGCCACACCTGTGCTCCTTGGAGTACATTAAGGGGAAAAAGAATGAACAACGAAGGTACTAAATTCACTCTCGGGGCAAATATCAAAAATACCAGAACTTGCTCACAAGTGCACCTGCCTTTCCAACCAGGAGGGGAAGGCGCGACCTACTTTCAAATACTCGTGTGGCCTGTATTCACACGGAAACGGGGGACAAGCAACACCTAAAATACGGCCGCTTCCCGACGGCCACTGGAGTTCGGTGAGGCCTCTCCTCAGCAGCCGGTCCCCTCTGGTCCCCTGCGCCGCTGTGGGGCTGCCCGGGGGCCCCGCCCTCCGGTCCTGGGGCTGTGCTGAGACTCTCCTGACCGTCGGCCTGGGCTTGAGTTATTTCTAATGACCTTCAGCCTACCCTTCAAACCAGGAGAAAGAACCCCTCCAAATTCCCCTCTGGCCACGCCCCCCATTCGCAGGCTTCTGCCGGGAGTGACAAACCCTCAGGCAGAGGATGACCCTGAGCCGCTGGTGGCTGGGGCCTCGCCCCACAGGGAAGTGGCAGAATCTGCCGTGGCTCTAAGAGAAATTGGGAATCGAGATTTCCGCCCCCCCGCCCCCGAAATCTCACCAGTTTTAAAACATTGGCTCAGCTTTTTTTAAACTCCGGCCGGGTGAACCAGGCAAGACTGTGAAAGCCAGCCGTAGGGAGGGCAGCTGGCGGGCCCTTTCCAACGCACTGAATTCAAAACCTCTGACAAAGCAGAGCCTTGGGTGGGGCGGAGTGGATGTTCCCAAAGGGCGTGGCCCGCAGGACAGCAGGGTCCCTTGGGCGGGGACTCCTTCCTCCCCCGTGACTCAAGGTCACGGAGAACCTCGTCAGTCCAGCTGCCAGTTAAAGGGCCCTCTGCCATCCACGGACTCTGGCTCCAGTTCAAGGTTATGCAAATAAGTAGCCCACACAATCAGCAGGTGTGTAAACACATCGCCGCCCCGCTCCTTCCCCGGCTACTTCTCCCACGGTGTTTACTCTGTGTCCTGTACCACACGCGGGCTGCAGGCTCTGGGAAACCTGCTAAAAAGCATAGACCCTCAGGGGCCATGTCCTTAAACAAAAACAGTTTAGTTAGTTTAAAAACATAATCGTCTGTTCTCCTGTCGCACTTCGAAGTCGGAGGATCGGGATTCTCGCTCAGCAGCAAGACCTTGAAGTTCAGAGCCACAAAGCCGGGCTGGGAGGATCCCCGCAGGCAGGCGGGCAGGCGGCCGGGCGCGGGAGGCGGCCTCGGATCCCGCAGGTCGGGGCTGGGCCCGGCACGTCTGGCATCCGCGCCATGCGCCTCCCTGGCCTGACCTTGGACAGAAGTCCCAGGTGCAAGTGTCCTCCGATCATGGGCAACGTCCCAGGGACGGTGCCCCCGCATGCGCGCGCTACCGAAAGTGGGACCGCCCGCGGAAAGAACCGAGTGTGCGCCTCACCTCCTTCTGCTGCCGCTCCAGCTCCTTCATCCTGATCTCGCGGGCCTCGGCGCGGGCCGCCCGCTTCGCCGCCAGCCGGGCCTCCGCCTGCAACACACGGAGATCGCGTTAGAAGGTGGGCCAGGGGCCCCTTTCCCGTGCGAGGTTAGCAAGGACGCAGTGGAAAGAAAGCCCTGGTCAGAGGTTAATGCACGTACAGAAATGCAGCACAGGCTCGTAAGAGGTAAGAGGGTCAACAGCGGTGGCAATGACAAGCCATAATGCCCGCTGCCGTTCACGGAGCCCTCACGAAAGGCGTGGGCACCACTCCCTGGGCTCCAGGTATGTCTGTCCCAGACGCCCCGCAACACTGCTGTTAGGCAGATTCTGTTACCAAACCGCTGTTAGGTGGATACTGTTACCAACTACTGCTATTAGGTGGATACTGTTACCAAATAGCACTATTAAGTAGATACTGTCACCATCCCTGGTTAGAGATGATAGAATTAAGACACAGAGAGGCTGAGTAACTTGCCCAAGGTCACACAGCCGGTGAACGGCAGGGCTGGGCGGGCTGCCTTCCCCTGGAGCTACCGCAGCCTAAGGCACGGCGCGAAGTGTTCGGGCAGGGCAGGGCCACGGGCCACGGGTTCAACCCCTCCCTCCACAGAGCAGGAAGCGGAGGTGGGGAGAGGCTGCCAGGCATGTCCGAGGGCACGGGGCGGGGACTCTGGCCCCGGCTTCCAGAACTCCTGTCCAGTCCCCTCTGCGACACCAGCCGCCCTCAGCCTCCTCTTCGGCACCTGCGGCGCTGGGAAGCCCATCTTTTCTCAAGAACAAGACTGGAGCTGTTAGGAGTGTTACATCAAGAAACATGTATCTGCCCCTGTTTAGCTACCTGCCCACTTTCGTGGCTGTTTCCCACAGTCTGCTGGAGAGCATCTGCAACGCTTGACCGGGGCCGACCGCCGTCAAACCCAGCCCCTGGACACTGCCTCTCGCCGCGCCCGCCTCGCGCTCGGTCACTCCTTCAGGGAGGTGAGCGTGCAAGGCGTCAGGGTCCAGGCTTCTGGGGGCAAATCCCACCTTCTTTCCACTTAACTTTTTCGGGGACACACCTGTAAACTCTTCCACCAGCTCTGCAGACGTTTGTCAGACATCTCTGGGTTCCCTCGACAATCGTAATACGGGGCCATCGGAGACGGCCAGCAGTGTCTCCCCAGGGGCCGGGCCCCTGCCCTGCAGGGCGACGTCCGGACGGCGGGTCCTGGTGTCAGGGACACCTGTCACGCCCCGCCTCACGCTTGTACTGATTACAAATTCATCTTCTAAGTTCTCACCTAAGCTGAAAACTGACCCCAGACGATCTGTCCTAGGTCGGAGGGCTGTGTCCTCAGAAGGAACTTACTTTCTAACTTGTTCACGTGGTTCCCTTAACTATCCAAGCCCAGGCCCTGCAACGCAAGGCGTCAAAATCACGACTAGGTCAGAGCCTGGATTCCTCGTGGCCATTTTCAGTTTTCTGAACACTGTGTGAGGGGCAAAGCTGGGGGAGGGGAGGGCAGGGAAGCTTCGTCAGACCGACACTGGCCACAGGGACTTCCTCCAGCCCCACGGACGGGCCAGCGGTCACACCGAGGGCAGCGGCCTCCCAGCAGCCAGCTGGCTCCGCGTCTACGCCGGCCGAGACCCAAGGCCACAGCCCATCAGCTGGGGTGGGGACAGACGGGGAGGGGGTTGGGAAAGAGAAGGAGGCGCAGGGGATGAAGAAGGGAAGCGGGAATGTGAGCGAGAGGAAGGGGCTGCCGCGGGGGGCAGAGGGAGGCGGCAGTGTGGCGGCGGGTTCCAGGGTGGTCCCGTGCTCCCCACGACCCGCTCCCCTTCAGCGTGAGCCCCCGGGATGACGGAGGCCACTCTCATGACGGGGTGGCAGTCTGTGGCAAACAGGAAGGCACAAACAGTGCCAGCCCCTCACCAGCTGCCTGCGTTAGGCACAGGCCAGGTGATTGCGGGTGGGTGTGCGCTCGGAAGAGGACCCCGTGGTCTAGAAAGGACGCAGCCCCCGCCACCGTGACGGCGGCCTCGCGCGGCCCCGAGTACAGCCCTGTCTAGGAGCCCTGTGCGCCGACTCCAGACGCACAGCGGCCGTGGGGAGCCTGTCGAACGGCCCGGACGACTCACTGAGCAGGCGGGGCTGCGCGCCTGCCCGCGCCCCGAGCTGAGGCCCCCCGCCCATCTCTTCCAGCCTGTCTGTCCCCCCACTTCCGGGTCTAGCTGTGCCTGGGGTCAGGGCAGAGACCCTCGGGAACGAGACTGCCTGCCTGAGCGTGGGGCCCCCGCCGCCTTGGGTGGCCTCCCCACAGACAGGCGGGCTCCACAGTGACGCCTCCACGGACCCCAGCTGCCCAGGAACAGCCCCGTCACGGTCCGCCCTCCCCTCGGGTCCTCACGTCCCGCCCACACACGTCTGTCCTGTCCCTGAGGTGAACCCCGGGCTTAAAGGGCGTGGACTTGGGTTGATAAAGGAACCACAGGAACAAAACCAGGTCACGGAATCAATTCCTTGTAAGAACACAGCCAGCCGACCTCGAAGGCAGGCCAGCTGCGGCGCACGGACCAGAACTGAGAAAGGAAGTAAATCTGTGGTTCGATATGGTGTCAAATCCTTGCACTCCCCATCCCAGGAAGCACCTACGCCTCTCACGTGACTCACGGGGACAGCAGAGCGCTGACAAGGCAGGGAGCGGCGACCGTCCTGCCGGTGGGCGCACTGAAGCCCCGCACACAGGCGGGCCAGCATTCACCAAGCCTGCGCGCCTCCGCCTGCGCGCGCGAGGCCGTGATCGGCAGAACGACCTGGACGCCGGCCCAAGGGGCCTCCAGGGAACACGCGGAGTCCTCACGGCACGGTGGCCTGAGACGCTGACGTCGCCAAGGACACACAGCAGCTCCACGCGGAGCACAGGCCCCGGCGGCCACTCACGCGATTGCCGTGCAGTCCCCAGAGGCTGGATCTGATACGATCAAGTCCTTAAATGAACAGAAGGCACCACGGAGCCATGGCCCCCCTCGGTGACGTGCAAACACGAGCTCACTCCCCCACGCGTCCTGTGAGGCCCCCGCCCCTGCCTTCCCCCCGCGGTGGCCCGGCTGGCGGGCCTGCGGCCAGCGCCTCTGCGGTGCACGGCGGACCCAGCCCCATCTGACACGTGCAAAATGTCAACTTGCATGCTTGAGGTTCCAGCCCTGTCAGGGGTTAAGAGTTTGCAGATGCCTGCTTTCACTTTCTGGGCTTAGCTTGGAGAGGACCTCTCCTCACCGGCCACCCCCAGCCTGGCCACCAGCCCGGCCACACGAACTGGCAGCACCGCCCAAGGCAGCCAGGAAGGCCTTTCACAGCGTGGCCTGGGTCCCCAGCATCGTGATGCAGACATAGTGATCGGTGTCTGCACACAAGCGGCAGTGCTACAGTGAGGGGGAGGGGCAGGGGCGCTGAAGCCAGCGCTGGTGTCAGGAGAGCCTCCTGGAGGCCACGGCCGTAAGCCCCACCCCAGAGGCCAGGAGGAGAGCCGCGTCCGGGAGGGGGCTGAGGCACGGGGCTGGGCAAGAAGCCCCCAGGGCCGGGGTCCAGGCCCGGCGGCGCTCAGCTCCTTATCTGGAATCTTATCTCGGAGGAATGCGGAACCACTCCTGGTGTAGAAGTGGCGCTCGTGCTGGAATGCGGGGGGTGCAGGAACGGTGGGGGGCAGCAGGAAGCCCAGCCAGAGTGAAGGGGCTGCCTACTGGCGGGCAGGCCCCTGAACAGGAGCTGGGGGCGCGGGGGTGCTGGCTGGGCTGCCGCCGGGTCAACGCGCAGCCGTGAGGGGCCGGGTCAGGCCCGTCCCGGGGAGGCACCTGTGGTCCCGCGAGCCAGCCCCGGAGAAGCCCTGCTCCGGGCGGCCGCCCGGCTGCCGGCGCGCGCCAGGCCTTGGGCACAGAGCGTTCCCTGACCCCGGACACAGCCCCCGCCTCGAGGGTGCTGGGGTCTGGGCACAAGGGTACGCCTCTGTGCTACCCACCTCAGCCTCGCAGGAGATGCCGGCAGATGGAGGGACGTAGGCGGATTTATGGAATTTAGGGGAGAAGGGCTGTATAAGCTGCTCAGGGCTTCAACAAAGAGTTGAGAGGCAAGACCATGGACACTCCCCGGCCGGCGGCAGTGAGCCGGCTTTAGCCCCCCGGAGTGCGCCGGCCAGATGCCCCGCTGCCCGCTGCGCCCAGCTCGCTCTCGGCCCTCAGGCTCCGGTCCCGCAGAGCGCGGCTCCCGCGTCCCAGGCTGCCCTCTCCCCTGCCGACAGGGGCCACCGGGAGGCAGCCGCAAGCCCTCCGCCCCAGGGTCCCCTCCAGGGGGTCAGGAGAAGGCGGGGCTCTGGGCCCCGAACCCTCTATCCCCCGCCCGATGCCATCGCCGCTGAGGCACAGCCGGGACGTAACCTGAGGGGGAGCGGGTGGGGTCGGCGGCTGCAAGCTGACAGTGGCTGGGACGAGGGCTCTGAACCGCCGGTGTCACGGGGTCCGTCCCAGCAGAGGGGCCTCACCGGGGGCCTGTCAGAGACGCAGGACCTGCGGCCCCGCGCAGCCCCCCCAGACAGAACCAGGGACCAGGGCAGCCATTGCCTTGGACAGCCCCAGGCCCCGGGGCGGGGCGGGGCGGGGCGGCGGGCGGCTCCGCAGTGGGGCCTTCTGCTTTCTGTCATCCCATCTGCGTCTGGGTTGTTTGACAGTTTTCAAATAAAGAGCAAACTTTTTGGAAGGAAGGAAGGAAGGAAGGGGGGAGGGTGGTGGGGGGGAGGGAGGGAGTGGGGAAGGAAGGAAATGAAGGTGCCCCCTGCTGCTCGCAGGCTGCCCTGCTGGGGCCCCTCCCCTGCAGAGGAACCCAGGCGCCCCCCCCGCCCCAGCGCAGACCGCAGGGGTGGCTGCAGCCCAGGGAGGCGCTGGCTGGTCCAGGGCCCCCAGACACTGAGCAGACCCCGGCTCCGGGGCTCCTCAGGACCGCCCCCCGCCGCGGAGGGCAACGCCCCTTAAAGGCGACAGCCCGTGACAGGGCCTGGCCCTGCCCCAAGGACGCT